ATACCTCTTATTTCGTATTCTCCCTCACAATTTTGTTAACTTTCTTTTGTCGGTTGTCTCACTATTTTTGCAACTTTGTTTTTTAAACAAAGAATTTGTGGATGATGTTAATAATTGTCTCTCCTCTGCATAAACTTCAATCACAAATTTTTACTTAATTATTTTATTTGACGGTTAACTTTGACAAAGGTTCAAAAGGACAAGGAGAGTATAACAAGTTAAGAATATTATCAAAAGGGAAAATGGGCAAATAAGCCCTCGAACCAACCGAAAATATGCAAATCACCCCTTTTATAGAAGGCTTTGTCCGGCCGTCGCCATTTGAGGCAGTTCTTGGTGGAATTTTTTGATGAATTTTTTTTGAACATCTTCTTCATTAAGTCTATTTTACCCATACCAAATTTCAGATAAAACTTCGATCGTGAAGACAATCAAATAAATGTTTGAAGATAATTCGAGGATTTATTTGCACAGTTCTTGTTGATTTGCATTTTTTCGGTTAATTCGAGGGTTTATTTACACGTTTTCCCTTTGAGTTAATTATCAAAATAGGACTAAAAGTCATTCACTTTTCACAAATAGGACCAAAAAATAAACTATGTTTGCATATGACTAATTATGTGTACCTTGGACAATTATACCCTTATAGCTATTAAAATGTTTTAATTCCTAATAAAATAATAAAAAATAATAAAAATTCGTAAAAATACTAAAAAATTAAGAAAAACATTTCGATATTAAAAATTTAATTAATTTTTTTTTCAAAAAATTAAAAAAAATTAAAAAAAAATTATAAAAAAATTAAAAACTCAAAAAAAAAATCGCCGCCGCCTCTGCTGCCTCAGCACCACCACCTTCAGTCACCAAGGGAAAAAAATGCCAAGTTCATTACGAATGCCATATTTATGGCAGAAAAAATTAAAATGTTGGCATTCGAAAAGAGAAATGTGCCACTTTTTTGGCATTTTCAGAAAAAAAATGGCATTTTTCTGGGAAAATGGCATTTTTTTCAATGGCCGGAGGTGGTGGTGCTGGGAGGTAGTACAGGCGGTGGGAAAGGCATCCATATTTTTTAAAATTTTTTTACGGAGTTTTACTATTTTTTATTAATTTTTTTAAAAATAAAATTATTTTAAATTTTTTTTTTTGAATTTTTCATTTTATAAAAATTTTATAAATTTGTTAATTATATTTCTACGAATTTTTGAATTTTTTTCGAATTTATTATGAATTAAACATTTTATTATGGCTTTTGACTATTTTTAATTCATATTTAATGGAAGGATAAGAATGGAATGCAAAAATAGGTATATTTCCAATAGGACTCATATGCTCCTATTTTGGAATAAAAACATAGCAAGTCCTATTTTAAGTTTTTGTCATAGTTTGAGTCCTATTTGAATTAATTTCTATTTCCCTTTTCAAAATACAGTAATCCACTCGGGCCACTGTGACAAGGTTGTGAAAGAATGAAAGGTGCGTGAACGCTGGAAATTTTGGCAATGAAGTCGCGTGGGAACATGGCGCGTGCGTTTCACTATGACAATCAAACATAACGGTTGTCCCCATTCTCTCAACAGGCCCACCAGTCCACAACTTATATCCTCAACCTTCTCGTCTCTTCCATCCTCAAACTATTTTTCTCAAATGGTACGAACATCACACCAAAATATCGTCTTCCAAACGGGGACTTAACTGGTTAATGAGATTCTGGAATATTCAGCACGTGGCATGACCAACAAAACGGTGTAAACTCAATAAATTGATTTAGGAATAAATTCCAAATCATTTGAGTTTTAGATAATTCCACATTTAATCCACATTTTTTACTTTGTTCATTTTTTATACATCATTATTGGTTTTTCGGCCATAGATGGTCCTTCCCGCATTATTTCTAATGCTTAAAATCACCGAAAAAGGACTACAAACGGTTAAAAACTATTAATCAAATACCAAAAGTGGACAGAGTGAAAGATCTAGACTAAAGATGGAATTGATACAAAACTCGTAGAACGAAAAGTGAAATTAATTCTTGATTTATTGAGTTTGAACTTTTAAGTGCTTTTTTGTCGGGGTAATACTCCCTCCGTCCCATTAGAAGGTTCCCACTTTCGCTTTTTGGATGTCCCATATAAAGATTCTCATTTCCATTTTAGGAAACAATTAACAATCTTAAGTGATAAATTAATCATTAAATATTAAAAATAATACATTTATATATCACAGTTATCAATACTAACTACATTATAGTATATACCTATTAAAATTATTTCTCAAAATATACCCAAAGTACTTTATTTAATTATTGCCTAAATAACCGTGTCGTTTTGTTGTGGGCACCTTCTAACGGGACGGATGTAATATTTCTTTTAGCATTACCAGCGGCCCCCAGCGCTTCAAAAGATTGTACGTACTTTTGTTTAATTTATTTGGAAAATTGCCCTTAATATGATTGAAATGTTTGTATATTACAATATAAATCTGTCATGTTTTCATTCCCTAAATATAAGTAATTCTTATCATGCTTTGACAGTATCAGACTTTAAACATGACAGTATTTTTCAAGTTTAACAATAATTATTTTTATCTAGAAAATAAAGACAAGCAAATTCTTCCTCTCAATTATTAGTACGCTTATATATTATACCTAAAATTACTAAATATGAGAGATAAAATTCTTCAATTCAGTTATTAGCTCACTCTTTTTTTTCCTCTAGGGGGGGTCTGGGGGAGGGGGGCATGGAGTAATCAGGGCTGAAACTCACTTCATTGAGTTTCAAACCCTTTATGTGCCTAGAGGGTTTCGAACTCGAGATCTCTCACTAAGCAGGGTTATGCCCTTAATATTACTAAATTGAACTGATTTTCCAAAAATGTGAGTACTTATTAAAATTGACAAAAAAAGTGATTAACAATGTCATATGTTTGGAATTATAAAACATGATGTCAGTGCAAAAAAATTATGTCACTGTGTTCGTTCTTTCTTGTCACTCAGAGTCGTCACCGTCAAATTTTTCACGCCAATTACATCGCCACCACCGCCACCACAGTGACACTATCACAGTGACGCCGCCACAGTGGCGCTGTCACAGTGATGCCGCCACAATGACGCCACCACAGTGACGCCGCCACAGTGATGCCGCACTTTCCAGTGATGTCCAATTTTGTAGTGATGTCACTGGCCGGAAGTTACTCCGCTCACCAAGAATAATACTACCGCCGTCCAGCTACACAGCCCAGCTGCCACTGCCGCCGTCAACCACCGCCCCCTGCCCCATCACCATCCCATAGCTCCAGCAACGCAACCACTCTCCTTGACCCGTATCCCTAAGCACCACTTCCCCAGCCCACCTGTTATGCCAACCTCCAGCACCCTCTCTGTCCAGTCAACCACCGCCCGCGGCCACCACCTCAGACCACCAAACCCTAGCCCCCTCCCCTGTCACCCCAACCCCACAGTAGCCCCTACCCCAATCCCACAGTAGCCCTGACTCAACTCCCCATCCTCCCAGCCCCTCCCCAGCCACTTCCACAGCCCCTTCCCAGCCCTCAGCCATCTCCTCAACCCCCTCCCAGCCCCCTCTATGTCACTGCCACCCTCAGAGAAGCCCTTCTCCGTCTCTGAACAAGACCGGCACCCTCCAGGCGCCCCACAACTGCCTCACGCCATCCCAATCGTTTTCCATGGCATCAATCCGCAGTGGAGTCTATGGATCTTGCATTGGACTTGTGGAATATCCATCACCGCTACAGTAGATCTCGTCCAACCATCGCTCGCCACACATCATTATTAGCCGCTGCCAGCGTTCACCAAACATGGATGGATCTGGAGGATTTCGACGACGTGACCGCCATCCATAGAGAAATGAGAAGAGAGGGAAGAAAGGAGAAGAATGGTATGCTTGTGTAATCGGCGAAGTGGATGATGTGGATATTATGGTAGAGCTTTGGCGGCACTACAACAAATTAGACTTTTTGTAATGCCTCAAAAGTATTACATTAGGTAGTTAAAGTGTTACAAAAAAATTTAGCAACACTTTTATGGGCGCTACATCAGGTCTCGTTAATAAAGTCATGTGCAACATTTTTTTGCATGTTAAGTAACATTTGGGTAAAGTGTTACATAATTAGATCAAATGCAACACTTATTTGCAACACTTTAACAATAACTTTACGCAACACCTTTTCCTGAAAATGCAACACTTAAACAATAAACTTATGCAACATATTTTTGGATAAAATGCAACACTTTAATAATACCCTTATGCAACATGTATTTAGATATAAAGCAACACTTTAACAATAAACTTATGCAACATATTTTTGGACAAAATGCAACACTTTAACATTTATCTTATGCAACACGTTTTAAAATAAAATGCAACACTAGAAATAAAACTTAAAGCAACACTTTAATTATGGAGAGGGGGTGATGGTGTCTGCGGCGGTGCACTGATGGTGTGTGGGTTGGGAAACTGACAGGGAGGGGGTGATGGTGTAGGGCGGTCACTCAAGGGCGGGTTTGGTCAATGGAACGCAACGGTGGAGGCGGCAATGACGGAGCTCTGGCGGTGGAGGCGGCGGTGGCGGTGCTCTGGCAGTGATGCCGACATATTTGGTTGTAATTTATATTTTTGCCAAAAAAAATAGCTAATTTTTTTTCCGGGGATCACAGTGACACTGTTGGCAGCGTTAGTGACATTGCCGCCGGGTTCAGTGACATTGGCGGTGACCACAATGACATTGATGGTGGCAATAGTGACATTGATGGTGGCCACAGTGACTTTGACGGTGGCCACAGTGACATATATAATCTGATAGTGACATCCCACAGTGACATTAAAATATTGCAGTGACAACAATTAGTAACATTTTGTCCCAATAAATGTGGTCACTTTTTTGGAAATTAGCTTTAGTTTAGTAATAGGAAAAAGGAATAAGGACATGAATATTACTAATAGCTATTTGAAAGACAAAAATATGAGCATTTTTTGATTGGACAAAAAGTGACCATTAATAAATGAATCTACCTTTTCCTTCCATCTTCCAGCCAAAGACGTCCGCTTCATCTTCGCTTATCAATGACACAACCTTTTCCTTCATCTTCCAGCCGTACGTCCGCTCCATCTCGCTCAAGGGTTCATGCTCCGAACCAGCATCTTCCTCCACCAACTGGTCTCGTCTGACGGCGGTAAAGGGCGACGAAGTCCAACGGCAAGGCCTTTAACTCCATCGTCGCCTCTACCGCTCCCTTCCTCCGCTGCCAGGTCTGGTCCCCACCCTCTTCATTGGCAATCCTTTGATTTTCTTCTCCATTCTTCTGTCCGTAAAAATCCGCTACTAGCTAGATTTGGAACTCCTTGATCATTTTCTTTGCATCGGCTGTTATATATGTAATCCTAATTCTAGTTATATTATACATGATGTTTTAATACTTAGATAGGAAGGTAAATCAAGGTTAGAAAGTAATTATATTTAATGGACTCTAATTGATTTATTCAATTGGATCATTAAAATAGGTCTGGCCTGTTTCAGTCTTATTCTCTTTTGGGCCTGATTTATTCCTTGGTGAGCTCGGTTCTCCTTATCTGACCCAGCTCTTTCTCTCGCATATAAAGGGTCTCCTTCTTACCTTCTAGAGACATCTTTTGCGTCATTTTTACTAAACCCTAATACAGAGAGGCGATAGAGAGAGAGAGAGCTTGCAAAGTGTTAACCTCTGGTTTTCTTCTTCGTGATCTGTGATACACTTGAGTCCAGAATAAGCTGAGAAAGGCGAGGATTAAACCGTGTGGTGAAGCGTAGATCCAAAGCAGTTGATTCGAGTCCAAGAATCTGATAACTCCTGGGTTTTGATAGTTTCGTTCGGTTATTTCTGTTCCTTTTCTTATTTTATTCGTATGCTTATTTTTGGCTGATTCTTGTGTGTTAGATCTGTTATTTTTGTTCCTTTCTTTGCAACCATCTGTGTATTCAAACTATTTTGAGCTAGTGGATTCTTGGGACCGGGTTTCCCCTGTTGAAACCCCGCAGAGTAGGATTTATCCGAACTGCGTCAACATATCGTGTGTTCTTTTCTTTAATTTCTGTTTTGGTTAAACTTGATAATTGAATCCGATATTTTGATTGTGACTATCGATATAGTCTGTGAACACCGGCATCTGGGATTTCAGATTGGGGGTCGGCGGCGGTGCAAAATGATTGGGAAAGCTGGGGAAGAGGTGGGGCAGGTTTGTTCGGGAATTGGACTAATAAGGACGGCGACAAGGTAGGGGATAGGTGTTGATGGGTGTTGATGTTGGGGGCAACGGCTTAGCCATCGTTGCTGGTAGGCTTGGCCCCGTTTGGGACAGGGGAGAGCTGAATTGGGGCCGAACCGGTGGGGGCTATTGCTGCCTAGGTGGCCTGGGGGATAGGGTGTGGCGGTGGTCGGAAGGGGCAGCAGCAGTGGTCAATTGACAGGCGACAATTGCCAAATTAGGCGGAGCGGGACTGCGTCAGTTATTGATTGGCGGTGCTTGTCGGAGATGTTGGGACGGTGGTGGGTTCACTGACCGGAGTCACTGGAGGCGGTGTGACTTGGCTCAGGTGTGTCACTTGCGGCGATGTCACTAGTGGCAGTGTCACCGGTGGCGGTGTCACTGTGGCTAAAGGTTGGGGCGGAGACATCACTACGGAGGTGTCACTGTGATCGGCTACGGTAGAGATGTCACCGCGGAGATTAGCCGTGCAAATGTCACTACAGAAATGTCACTGCGGAGATGTCGCTGTGTATTAGTCTCATTTTTGTCAAAATGTAATTGTTGTCATTTTTTTGGAATCAACTTTAATTTAGTAATATTAAGGGAATAACCTCTTAGTAATATCCATGTAAAACACCCTCGTAAATGTGACTATTATTAATAGTCATCAAAATAATATTATAAAATAGCAACAATATTCATAATGATATTTCTTATCATTATTATTTTTGTCATAATTTTTATCATTATTACACTATTATTAGTAATTTTATTTAATTTCAATTAATATTTCTAGTTTTGAATAATTATTAACAACTTAAATAATATGGTAATATTGAAGGGTATACTAGACACTTAATATAAGATAAAAAGTCACTGTGAAAAGCTAAAGTATTTTTCTCATTTTTAGTTTTTTCTCTTCATACAGTCGAATGAATTGTGGTTCATCGAACGCTGAAAATAATCGTTTGACATAGTCAAACAATCAAAATCAATCCAAAAAAATTAAAAATACTCTCTTTGTTCCGTTAAGATTGTTCTATTTTTTTGGTCCGTCTCACTAATATTGTCTCCTATCAATTTCGGTAAATTATGTGTGTTTCAAGTCATTCTTATTTTATTTTTATTTTATCAATTCAATATTAACTACATAAATTTATTTTTATTAATAACCGCACTACCTACTCATGTCTTCATATTAACTGGATGGAACTAATAACGAAACACCCCTTAATCAATTTGTAAAAAGCCGCTGCCTTTTTTTGGCCTTATTTTATGAATATTACTAAATAAAGGCTTGAAGACAAAAAAGTGATCACATGAACAAAATTCCAAAAATATGACTAGTATCAAGTGACTTGCAATTTTAGTGACTGAAATTAGACCAAATAGTGACCACTCGTGCAGTGACTTCCGTCACCGCCCCGATTAATGATTGACGTTGCCGCTCTAATAAGTGACTGTTGTCGCCCATCCGGTGACTGCAGCCACTGCCCGTCCAGTGACTGCCGCCACTACCCGTCCAGTGATTGCCGCCACCGCCCGTCCAGTGACTGCTGCTGCCCCTGATCAGTGACTGCTGCCGTCCCCGATCAGTGACTGCCACCGCCCACCGGTCACAGTGACACGCCATCTCCGGCCATAGTGACATGCCATCTCCGACCACACCAATCCATCCCTCCCATACTCCTCACAACCCCGTCCCCAGCCCACCTCGCCATAGCGTCGCCGCCGAGCATCACCGCGGACCATCGCCGCCAACCACTGCCCCCTAGAATGTCGAGCATAACCCTTATGAAGGACTCCAAGCTTCTAATTATCAATCAACAAAGAAACACACTTCCTATATTATTGCAAAAGATACGGACTTCCCAGACAAACTATTCATTCAATGTATAGTGGATTTTTTTAGAAAAGTATTCACTACAACTCAGACAAATCCCTTTGAAGTTCCGTCTAATTATAATAACAAGAACATCAAGAATGATGACAATATAGACTTATATGTACAAACACACATAAACAGAAGAACAGTGCTAAAAATCAGGTCAACTATGTATATTTGATGAAAGAATTACAGACTTAAAGCAATCCGTAGCATGGAATACAACCATCGCACCTCTATCAGCATCAACGGCTCTAGGTCAGATGCGTCGCCCACCAAGGATGGCGGATATGGAACCGGTGACCCCTCCCCCGCCAAAGTCACAGCCACCACTATGGCCGGCCAACGACCCCCTCCAGCCACCCAATCACTGGCACACATCAACTCCGATGAACCTAACTAGCCCCAATCTACTCCCCTGAGCCCAAGCCCACCACTGTCCGACCCAAACCAACCAGAAGAGATCTGGCCGTCTGCAACCAAGTCGGACTAGAAGTCGTCTCTAGGGAGACGTCGTCATCCACGAAGAAATGAAAAGAAGGGACCACATCGGAGATGATAGCACACCTGGGAGGCTGCGGCCAACAACGGTAGTGGGGGGCTGCGGCCAACAACGGTGGTGGTTGGTGGAAGCGGCAGATCAACAACGGTGGAGCGCAGAGGAGCTTCGTCCGATCTCGAGGGAAGACGACGATCTGGGAGAAGCTTGGTCTGATCTTCGAGGGAAGACGACGATCTGGGAGAAGCTCGGTTCGATCTTGAGGGAAGTCGACGATCTGGGGCAAGCTTGGTCTGATCTTTGACAAATCCAGCATCACGGCGGAGCATATGGAAGAGGAGCTGATCTGAGAGGAAGACAACAGATCTGGCCATCTGGGAGAAGCTCTTCGATCGAGCACAAAGAAGTCGAGCGCAGAGGGAGGTGGGCGATTTGTTTTAATCTCTTTTTTGTCCAACTCAAATTTGGTCATATTTTTGTCCATTAAAACTTGATAAGTAATATTTGTGTTGTTTCCTAACAAGACTTATGATTTGCTGATTTGGATATTTTTACTTATCTTGGGCCTTTGTTTATTGGGCTTCTTTTATTAGCATATACATAGTATATATAGCGTAGGCCTATTGTATTTTAGATAGAAGATTGATTTCAGTTGTAAACAAAAACCTATTCCGCAAACTCTCTCTGCGTTCTTCTTCTTTTGACATTCTCTTAGATTTTGGTATTCATTCACAAATTCATCAGAATTCTTGAATCCAATCATTAACATGGTATCAGATTAGGTTACGATCTTCATCATCTTTTCTGATTTCTTCTTCTTCGATTTCTATAATCGATCTTTTCTGATTTCTTCTTCTTCGATTTTCATATCAAACCCTAATTTTTCGCACAAAATTCTGTTGCGATGAATCAATCTACTATATTCCCTCTCACTCCTCTTGAAGATCCTTCCTCTCCGTACTACCTGCATCCTAGTGACCATGTCGGTCTGCGTATTATCTCTGAGACACTTCATGGAGATAATTTCAATGCTTGGAAGAAGTCGGTTGTGATGGCTTTTTCTGTGAAGAACAAAATGGCGTTTCTGGATGGTTCCATTGAGCAGCCGAGTCCAGATAACTCTTCATCCTATGCTGTATGGTATCGTATCAATGCTCTCTTGTTATCTTGGTTGATTTACTCTATTGCGCCTGAACTTCGTTCTACTTTCTTATACTTTACTGTTGCGAAAGAACTCTGGGACGAAATTAAACTTAGATATGGCAAGTCTGATGGTCCTAGGCTTTTTTATCTTGAAAAAACCCTAGGTAATATTTCTCAGGGCACTCAGACCATTACTTCTTATTACAATTTTTTCAAAGGTCTCTGGGATGAATATGTAGACTTCAAAACCCTTCCTCCTTGTTCCTGTGGCCTTTGCCTTTGCAAAAATCATGAAAAATATCAAGAATTACTTCAGAAAGAATCTGTGCAAAAATTTCTTGTTGGATTAAATGAATCCTACTCACATTTGAGAAGCCAAATACTTCTTCAAAAACCTTGTCCTAATCTTTCTTCTGTTTATTCCTTCTTTCTCCAAGAAGAATCTCAAAGAACACTTCAATATCCTGCCAATTCTGTTCCTTCTATTCCTGATTCTTCTAAAAACTTTGATACTTCTGCCAATGATTCCACTACTTTCCTTGTCAAAAATCAAAATTATAAGAAGAAATCCTCTGTCATTTGTAACCATTGTGGTTACCAAGGACATTCTGCTGACAAATGTTTTCAAATCATTGGTTATCCACCTAATTGGAAAGGACCTAAAGGACAAAGAACTGCTCCTGGATTTCAACAATCATCTTATTCTAACAAGAACAGTCAGGCTCATCTTGCCAATACATCTGTTGATTCTTCTTCTAATGACATGGACCTCTGTGATCCTACTCTGTATAACAAGTTTCTAGAATTTATAAAGAGCCAGAATGACAAAGCTTCTGCTCATGTTGCTGTGGTTGCACCTGCCACTGATCAATCTCCTCCTAATGATTCTAATTTCTTAGGTAATCATTATGTCTTTCTTTCCACCATTACACCTATTATATGGATTCTTGATACTGGAGCTTCTGATCACATGATTCATGATTTTACTTTATATACTTCTTCACCCAAACCTATTTCTATTAAAGTTCAATTACCAACTGGTTCCTTTATTACTGCAACTCATATAGGAGATGTTAAGATTAACAATAATCTTACTCTTCATAATGTTCTTTATGTTCCTAAGTTTAACTTTAATCTTATATCTATTTCCAGTTTGGCATTACATGAAAAAATATCTATTCATTTCTCTTCTAATCATGCTACTTTGCAGGATCATCACACCAACACAATGATTGGTTATGTTGATCTCAAAAATGGCTTATATCTCTACAACTCTGCTGATTCTTTTACTCATCATAAATCTGCTGTTGTTAATCATGTTCATAGTCAATGTTCTGACTCTAAATCTGATATTTGGCATTATATATTAGGTCATCTTCCTTTTAATAAACTGAATGCTATTGTTGATTGTACTGTTTCTTACCATATAAATAAAGATACTGCATGTGACATTTGTCATTTTGCTAAACAAAAGAAATTACCTTTTACTGAAAGTGTTTCTCATGCTTCCAGTCCTTTTGAACTTGTTCATATGGATGTCTGGGTCCCTTTAAAGTGCAATCTTATTCTGGTTTTCAATATTTCTTAACCATTGTTGATGATCATACTAGATGTACTTGGGTTTTCATGATGAAAAACAAAACTGAAGTCAAATTTCACATGATGAATTTTTACAATCTTATCCTTACTCATTTTAATACAAAAATTAAAACCATTAGAACTGATAATGGAACTGAATTTATTTTTCCATCCTTTTATTCTAATAATGGCATCATTCATCAACTGTCTTGTGTAGAAACTCCCCAACAAAATGCCAGAGTTGAAAGAAAACATCAACATCTTCTTCAAATTGCTAGAGCTCTTTTGTTTCAATCTTGTTTGCCTCTTATATTTTGGTCTGATTGTATACTCACTGCTGTTCACATTATAAATAGACTTCCTACTCCTATTTTAAATAACAAATCTCCCTATGAACTTCTATATGGTAAGACTCCTGATTATTCTCATTTAAGAGTTTTTGGTTCCCTGGTTTATGCTTGCTTCTACACTTAATGCAAATAGATCAAAATTTGATACTAGAGCTGTCAAGTGTGTTTTTGTTGGGTATCCTTTAGGATCTAAGGGATATAAACTTTATGACATTGTTAATCATAAATTCTTTATCTCTAGAAATGTCAAATTTTATGAAATGATTTTTCCATATAGAAAGTTTTCTGATTCTTCTAATCCTAATAATCATATTCAATCTAATTCTGATTCTTTACATTCTATTGATCATGATTATTTTTATAACTACAAACCAGTTTTTAATAATACTTCTGATGAATCTGACAATTCTTCTACTGATTATTTACAAAATCAGATCAATGATGAAACTACTTTAATGAATTTACAAAATTCCATGCTAAATAATGATTCTAGTGTATTACAGAACTCTAATGTTCCAGATGATCATTCACAAAGGAAATCAACAAGGGTAAGGTCTTTGCCTAATCATTTACAAGACTACAGTTATGAATTACCTAATTCCATAAGTGCAGGTATTTCTAATATTCCTTCATCTACATGCAATTCTGTAAGATATCCTATTACAAATTATATTACCTATACCAGATTAAATGATTCTCATTCTTGTTTTATTGTTGCTTTATCTAATATCAAAGAACCTAAAAATTTTAAACAAGCTGCAAAACTTCCTGAATGGCAAACTGCTATGTCTACTGAACTTCAAGCTCTTGAGAAAAATAATACTTAGATCTTAGTTAATCCACCCTCTAATCAGAATATCATTGGATGTAAATGGGTCTTTAAAACAAAATTAAAACCTGATGGTTCTTTAGATAAATATAAAGCTAGATTAGTTGCTAAAGGCTATACTCAAGAAGAAGGCTTTGATTATTTTGACACCTTTTCTCCTGTTGTTAAACTGACAACTGTTAGGATTATCTTAGCTATTGCTAGTGCTAAGAAATGGTTTTTACATCAACTTTATGTAAATAATGTTTTTTTACATGGTGATCTAAATGAAGATATTTACATGCAGCCACCTCCAGGTTACTTGTCTCCAAATGATACAAGGGTTTGCAAGCTTACCAAAAGTCTATATGGTCTTAAACAGGCATCTAGACAATGGTTTTGTAAGCTCTCTGATTCACTTAAATTACTTGGATATAAACAATCTAAGGCTGATTTTTCCCTATTTACTAAAATCACTGAACATTCTTTCACTGCTATTTTAGTTTATGTAGATGATCTCATTCTTGGTGGAAATAGTATGAAAGAGATTAATGCAGTAAAAGTTTTTCTGAATAACAAATTCACTATTAAGGATCTTGGAGAATTAAAATATATTTTAGGAATTGAAATTGCCAGATCTGATAAAGGTATTAATTTGTGTCAAAGAAAATACACTCTTGACATCTTAAATGAATATGGTTATCAAAACTGTAAGCCTTACACTACTCCCATGGATTGTAAAATTAAATTTTCAAAAACTGAGGGTATTCCTTTAGATGATCCTAAAACATATAGAACTTTAATTGGCAAACTTATATATTTGACTGTTACAAGACCTGATATTGCTTATAGTGTTCAAGTTCTTAGTCAGTTTCTTGCCTTTCCCACTGATATTCATATGAGTGCAGCTCACAGGATCCTTAGATACCTTAAAAATTCTCCAGGTAAAGGTCTTTTTTATTCTTCTGTCTCTGATTTTTCTATTAAAGGTTATACAGATTCAGATTGGACTGCTTGTATTGACACTAGAAGAAGTATTTCTGGTTATGCTTTTTATCTTGGTAGTTCTTTAATTTCATGGAAATCTAAAAAACAACAAGTAATTAGTAGGTCTTCAACTGAAGCTGAATACAGAGATGCTGCTAATGCAGTCTGTGAAGCACAATGGTTGTATTATATTCTTGCTGATTTGCACATTCAGTCTTCTTTACCTATGCACATAATAAATCTGCATATCATTTGGCTTATAATCCTGTTCAGCACCAAAGAACTAAACATATTGAATTTGATTGTCATCTAATTAGAGAAAAAATAGCTGCTGGTTTGATTTGTTTAATCCATATTAAAAATCAGTTTCAACTTGCAGATATTTATACAAAGCCACTTGGGAATCCATTGTTTAGCCAATTTGCAGTCAAGATGAACATGCTAGACATCCATGCTCATCTTGAAGGGGCGTAACAAGACTGGTGATTTGCTGATTTGGATATTTTTACTTATCTTGGGCCTTTGTTTATTGGGCTTCTTTTATTAGCATATACATAGTATATATAGCGTAGGTCTATTGTATTTTCAGTTGTAAACAAAACCTTATTCCGCAAACTCTCTCTGCGTTCTTCTTCTTTTGACATTCTCTCAGATTTTGGTATTCATTCACAAATTCATCGGAATTCTTGAATCCAATCATTAACATTTCCTTTTTTGGAAGAAAAGCGGCTTCTATTTTAGAAAATTAAAATACGGATTAGAAAATTCGATAAAATTGAGTGGAACAAAATTATAAATTTGTTATTTGTAGGACAAAGACATAAATTTGTAATTGTACGAACTAATTTTAGATCCCTTGGGATCTACGAACAAAGAAAATACGGTGTGGTCGAATGGACGGACAGCCAGAGCCCAACCAAAAGCGTGCTGCTGACTAAGCTTATACTTCGTATCAACTCCAATCCTTCTTCCTGCTCGAATTTCATTCAACTTCTCTCCTGAATCAACTTTCATCTCGAAGCCATGATTTCTTCCACACTATGTTCTAACCGGAACCCATTAGTCTTAGACAAATCAAGAACTCAAAATTCAATAAAGTTTCGATCTTTTTCACATTCCAAGCTCGTTTCATGCCCACCAAATGCGGGTAAAGTTCACAAGTGTTGGAGGGCCACGCATAAGGAACTGATAGTAGTAGAAGATGGTGGAACTCCTCCTCCTCCCAATAATGCCAAGAAAAAAGTTGTGGTTGAGGAGGCCCGCGGCGGGCATTGCGGTGGTGCTCCGGCGGGAAGACAACAAATGTTGATCCTGTGTGGGTTTGGATATTGGATTCAAGGGTTCAGGTCATATCCATGGCTGGCTCTCAATTTCCACATGGCTAATGGGATGAATATGCACCCTTCTCAATTGCAGCTTGTCCAGAATACAGGCAACCTCCCTTTTGTGGGCAAGCCATTGTATGGAATTCTGTCTGATGCTCTTTACATTCTTGGTGCTCATAGGTTGCCTTACATATCCTTTGGAGGTAAATTACCCCCCACCCCCTGCATTTGCTTTGGTTTGTTCAGGAACTTGATGATGTTTCTTCTCTTGCAAAGTGGTTTTCATTATAGTAATTTTCTCTTGTTTTAAAGTTTACTATATTTGATTACTGATAAAGTTACTAATTTCTAATTAATACATAGAGTCATAGATTAGTTTCAGTAATTACTATTTAGATATTCGCAACTGCAAAGATTGAATTTAAGTATGAAAAAATACTATATAAAAGTAGAGATTAAAAAGGCAATTTGACAGCCGAAATAGCAAGCTTGAACTTTAGTCAGGGACGGGTAGAGTATTTCTCTAACCTTTGCTGCATCGTTAATCTTAATTGCTTAGTTAAATCTCTTGATAGTTGGAGCTTCTATAAGCAAGTTTGTATGTCTGCTATAAATGAGGGGCTTGAAGTTTACTTGGAACTTCAGCTTTAGTTTCCTCTCATCACAAGAAAAGCTTTTTTGGATTCCTTCAACTATAATAACCCAATTAGAAGTTTAAGGGTTTAGGATTCCATTGGTAGCCAGTACTTTCTTATTCATCTTATTAGCATAATAAATTCTTTTTGAATTGTGTGGTGGATAGATGTTTCTAACAGCTTTCCTTTCAGAAAATTCAGTATATTCTGCTAAATAAGCCTTACAAAACGGACCCCTAGGTTACAGAACAGGCAAAGGAACTCTTCCTTGACGTTTTTCTGTGAATGAAAGACAATATTGGAGTTTTTCTATCATCAAAGTCATGATATATTTATCAGCCTCACACTGAAAGTTTTTTTTTTCTAATAAAAAATTTATGGAGATCCTGCTAAAAGGAATATGTTTTTTTCCAAAAATATCCTGACGGGTAAATTCATTCCTGCAGTTTTCCTCCAGGTTATAGCATGGTGTCCATTAGTACTAATATCTTCTGCAAGTGAAGCATTCCCATCTCTCATGGCATCTATTCTTCTAAGCAACCTAGGAGCTTCAATCACAGAAGTTGCCAATGATGCTCTAGTGGCAGAATATGGTCAGAAAAACAAACTGCCCGGAATCCAATCCTATGCATTCATGGCTTCAGCTATCGGTGGCATGCTAGCCAACTTACTAGGAGGATATTTCTTACTCAAAACTAGACAACCCAAAGCCATGTTTCAAGCCTTTGCATTTTTACTTGCATCCCAATTAGCAATGTCTGTATCAATGAGAGAAGAATCACTCGGCTTGTCTCCAAATAATAATAGTCTAAGGAAATCAATCCCGGAAAGTATAAAAGAGCAGTTTTCTGATCTAATGGTTGCCATTAGAGATGAAAACATCTACCGCCCTCTTATATGGGCCGTTCTATCCATTTTGACTGTCCCGGTCCTATCCGGTTCTGTCTTCTGCTATCAGACTCAGTGTTTGAATTTGGATCCATCAGTTATTGGGTTGTCAAAAGTGACAGGTCAGTTGATACTTCTCTCCATGACACTTCTTTACAACCGGTTTGGCAAGAACATCCCTATGAGAAAACTGAGTGGCGTTCTCCAGATTCTGTATGCTTCCTCTCTGCTTCTGGATCTTGTTCTAGTCAAACAGATGAATATCAAAATGGGAATTCCCAACGAGGCCTTTGCACTTTGCTTTTCAGGCATCGCAGAGACGGTTTCTTCATTCAAGCTCCTACCTTTCTATGTGTTCATCGCAAGTTCAGCTCCATCGGGATGTGAAGGATCACTGATGTCATTCATGGCATCAGCGTTGTGTTTAGCGTCAATAATTAGCGGGCTTTTAGGGATTGGATTGGCTTCTTTACTAGGGATAACGGTTGGAGATTACTCAAGTCTGCCTCTTGGGACAGTAATTCAGTTTCTTGCTGCTTTGGTGCCTCTCGGATGGCTTAACCTTTTGCCAACGTCACAACCCTCGTCTGAAAAAAGGAGGACGGGTAGTGGAAGCAAACGGAGAAGGAGAAATAGGAGGGTAGGAAGAGTTGTAATTGGCTCTATCTATTCTTATAGGCGAGAGCGACAGTCGGATTTGCAAATATGAGACATTTGAGTGAGAGCTTGGCATGGAACGGCTAAATCTTGTGTTATTTAGTAAGAAAACTCATGTTAAGGCTTCATGGAATGTAGATAAGACGTCCTTTCTAAAACCGTTATACTGTGAGAACTCTGTTACAAAATTCAATTCATTTACAGTACCCATTACAGTCAGATTAGTATAGCTCCATTATACTGTTAGAACTCCTTATATCAGGTTCCCGTTCTTATTATCTTATGTACAGCTCTTGTTTAGCAACGACTAGTCAAACATCTTTTTTTGACATCATATGTGTGCCTGCATGCTATATAGTAAAATTTAAACTTTTTGAAATTTCTGGAAATTATAAAGATTATCATCTTATAAAGTTATTGTAGATACATACTGTTGACACTGTTATAATTAGGGTCTAGACTTTTAAAAAGTTCATGTTATAAAGAAAGAATACATATATAAATTGGTGTAATGAGAGAGATGAATGAATAAAATGCATTATATTTGAGAATTCGTATTCTCTAAAACAAATATGTGTATCGCCATAAACTAGAAAAAATGGTGCCATTTGTAGATAACTTCAATAAATTCTGTTGCCGTGAAATGTGCACTAATCTGAAATAGGTTCATTCCAAATATGCACAATTCCAATTGTGCAAAAATGTGCACAATTCAATATAGTATATCAACTCTCGTTTATCATTGAATTGTGCTAGTGTAATCCCAAATTTATACAAACATGTATGGAGTAACACTTTTCGTGTGTATCACATGAGAACCTCTTTGATGATAAACTACGGTCTTTTAAATGAAATCTTATGGTTATATTAATTTAAACTAACCATAATTTTACTATTGAAATCATATGAGTTTTTTTGTAACCCGGTAGGGTAGGCAAACCACCTAAGTCGGTGGGGCGAATGTCAAGGAACATTTGCCAAGTTTTATTAAAAATTTAAAATAAAAGAAAGTACAAAAGAGGAAGGGGATTAGGTCAAAACCTCATCCGAGAAGACATTCCTTCTCCAAATACAACGCGTAACAGAAAAATAAAAAATTGGGGGGTTAAACCTAATTCAATTTAAATACAACGAAAATCATAAATGCCAAAAAAATAACAATAGAGAGCTTTTCGTACAAGGTGGGGTAACAAACTAATCCGATTTAAATAAGTGAACTGGGCCGAGTTAAATTCAGCTAAAAAATGGGCAACCCAATTGCCTTTTCGAAACAGGTGTCGAAAAGTAACATCTTTCATGTTTAACTTCCAATTCATGTCCTGAATATACGTACCTTATTTCTATCAATACTATGGTTGATGTATTCATATAACTTCTAAAATAAATATTTTTTTTGCGAAGTCTAAAATAAATGTTATAAAATGTAAATGGTCGTTGATTAAAAGAACCAAGATGAGTGTATATATATAGGGAATATATATATATATATATATATATATATATATAGGGAATAGATCTGGTGAGAAGCTCCTTAAAGCTCAAAAATGAGAACTATTCTCGGCCGTTGATTTATATTGAATCTTACGGTTCTTCTTTCCTCCTAACTAACCGTGTCACACATGACCTCCAATTTGAGATATTCGTTCCTTTTTACGGAGTAATAACAAAATTTCTCTCTCCTAAACCAACTTTGTTCCGCCATCGACCATAACCTAGAACTCTCGTTCTAATACACTGAATTTGTTCCACCATTGACCATCAAACAAAGCTTTGATAAATGTTATCATGATCGATGAACTCCGAAATTGAAGAATACCGGTGAATTTCAACAAAATGTCTCAACTCTAGAAGTTCACGAGTGCAGATCGAATTCGAATAAAAAAGCTAAGATTTGAATTACTCTACTTTTTCTTGTTTCAGGATTTGATCTAATTGGAGCCTGGGAGATTTTTCAAAAGTGTTCATTGATTACATTCAATAGGTTCGATCTAATATTCCTCATTACCAATGCATAAAAACATAAACTTCCGTATCAATCAGGTGCTTGACCTCACTTTTAAAGTGAATTTCAAATTTTTTGTCCAAGGCAGATATGATTGATTTGTGATGAAAATTAGGTTTTATTGTTGTTTTCCGTTAATTCAATTCTCACAAGAGGCTTCATGGATTTTCTAATTTTGTTCCTTTTCTATCTCAGTTTTCATGATATAATTTCATTATACTAATGTGTTGTCTGCCAACTGTTTGATGAAAGGTCTTATAGTAAAAGTAATGTTTTTCCCCATAAAGGTTACAGGAACATGAGTAAACGTTATTTTACAAAGTTGGATTTTTCAGTGAATGCAGCTAACTATATACAAAACATGTGAGCTTCTTATGGTGCTAATTAAGATGCCTAAATGGATAATTTATAACCCAAAACTCATAACTCATAGAAATACATTTAGAGTCAAGTTTTTTCCCCTATTAGTTACATATTTTTTAATATTTGTTAAGGTTGTTTGATTGTGATTGAATATGGGCTATAAAATGTGTGAATACTTATTAATAGTTTGCAAAAGGTTTCAAACAAAAAATTATATTTTTAGTTTTAAAATTTTTTATTTCATGCTATTAATGTATTGATAAAATTGTGCTTTATTTTGAATTTACTATAGAAATGAAGATAAATTTGAATTAGAGGATTAATGTGAAGTGGTGTTAAAGTTTGTTCTCCTTTTAATGATAGAATTTAGATAGCTGCAAGTATTTTGTTGTTTCAGAAATATTACATGTGTGAAAAAGTTATAGGTTTTTATTTAGTAGTAATGTATTTCAGATTAAAAGTTATAAAGTATTATGGGCTTACAATTTTTCTTTTATTAATGAATAATAATAGTTGGGAGTCTCTATTTTGTTTTCAAGTAAAATTTCAAACTGATATTGATGTATGTTGGTATTCTGGTGATGTGAGTTTAAAGTTATGTAGATAGTTTTAGAAGTTATGGTTTTGGCTCTATTAGTTATAAACATTTCAATTTTTTATTATACTAATGTGTTGTCTGCCAACTCTTTGATGAAAGTTCTTATAGTAAAAGTAATGTTTTTTCCCATAAAGGTAATAGGAACATGAGTAAACGTTATTTCACAAAGTTGAGTTTTTCAGTGAATGCAGCTAACTAGAATACAAAGCATGTGAGCCTCTTATGGTGCTAAGCTGCCTAAATGGATAACGTATAACCCAAAACTCATAACTCATAGAAATACCTTTAGAGTTATGTTTTTTCCCCTATTAGTTACATATATTTTAATATTTGTTAAGGTTGTTTGATTGTGATTCAATATGGGCTATAAAATGTGTGAATACTTATTAATAGTTTGCAAAATGTTTCAAACAAAAAATTATATTTTTAGTTTTAAAAAGTTTTATTTCATGCTATTAATGTATTGATAAAATTGTGCTTTATTTTTAATTTACTATAGAAATGAAGATAAATTTGAATTAGAGGATTAATGTGAAGTGGTGAAAAAGTTTGTCCTCCTTTTAATGATAGAATTTAGATAGCTGCAAGTCTTTTGTTATTTCAGAAACATTACATGTGTGAAAAAGTTATAGGTTTTTACTTAATAGTAATGCATTTCAGATTAAAAGTTATAAAGTATTATCGGCTTACAATTTTTCTTTTATAAATGACTAATAATAGTTCAGAGTCTCTATTTTGTTCTCAAATAAAATTTCATACTGATATTGATGTATGTTGGTATTTTGGTAATGTGAGTTTAAAGTTATGTAGATAGTTTTATAAGTTATGGTTTTGGCTCTATTAGTTATAAACATTTTTTTTATTGCAGTAGATGATCAATGACAACTTTGTTGCAGTAAATGATGATGTCAGTGCGGTCAGAAATGAAGTTCTTTTGGATGTTGGTCTTCAAATGAGGTATCAAAGTCAACTGCCAAAATCGCAAATAAGACAACGAAAAGACCTTCGAAGAAAAGGAGGAAAAAGAGCAAAGACGGATCAGAGAAAGACCATGGTTAAGCACAAAGTTTATTTATAGGCCAATCACATGTTTCTTGTTACAAAGTGAATGTAATGCACCGAAAATGTTCAAAATAGAGTTCTGTTTTAGTGTTACTCCGTATTAGAATTAATTCCCAACTTAATTAGCTACAACTTAATTGGATGTTTGTTCAAAAGTATGTGAAAACAAACAAGTCAAATGTACATTCAAAGTACTTTACAGAGAAGTTGAAGCAATAAACATTTATTTAGGCTATGTCTGGGACTCGAACCCACACCACTGTGCAAACTTGCACATTGCTATACCAATTCAGCTAATAGTCTTACATGAGAAATATGTACCACTAGATTTCCTTTTTGTTTTCTCTTTAATTTACATCAGTTTTCTGGGCATCAATTTCCTCTTTGAAGTGAACTTGCTCTTGCCGCTATCAACTTTCTTGTTCTTGGATCAAGTTGTATGGCTTGGCAGGACAAGCATATACAAGAATAAACTCATAAAGAGCATGTTGAGTTACTCGGTAGGATCTCCCTTTTTTGTTGGATGGGTTCATCAGTTTGCAATACTTTGGTTGAGATCGGGAAGCTTGTAAGGCTTTTAGAATAAATGAAGGAGTTGGAGGCTGAGCTTAAAAATACTTACAAATACCAGAATGAGCAAAATCACAATAAACTTAAGTAGTCAAATGATAGATCCGTTGCACTGGTCAAAGCAGAGTTAGACATTGTTGTTGCGGTTGGGTTAGTTCAATTGGTACCCAAAAAAGTAACTCCGTGTATGACAGGAGCCTTTGGATTTCTCAGCTCTCTCATATCTTGTTATCAGTTGCTCCCTTCACTAGCAAAGACCAAGATGCCATGATGAAAGCCGCCAATGTTTGTCAAGTGATCATCTTGTCGTTTCTCTACAATAATTACTTGTCAAGTGATCATTTGTTCGTTGCTTATGCTGCTTCCAGCTGTTGGTGCACATTATACCATGAAATATCACTTGATTTTGTCATAATCTGTCAGATGCCACAGACAAAATTTGTTGTAGTTCCATTCATTGTATGCATCTTATTCGGCTTTTGGATTCCTGATTCTTTTTATTGTATAAATTTTCCATCCTGCTGCCTCCAACCCTCCCCTGTGGTAGTCACTTTTGGTCTTATCTACAAGTATCACAAGATCCCGAGTAGAACCTGCCATGCGAATACTCTGTGCTCCAGCTATTGCCCCACATACATAAAATTGTGCTGAGTGGAGGAGTGTTGAATAGGTTTCTCGACGTGCATTACTTGAGTGCCAGTGCTCTGTATAAAAATAAAATCATTACACATAAAGAATAAAATGACTTTACTCTTTGTATTGTCCAACACTTCAAAGTAGAAGACTTTGAAGGACTTAGTGTATGCAGATATGCATTGATAAAATAATGTTCTTTGAAAAACAAATAATGACCGCAGAGTATGGTATTTTTCCCATTTTGTATGAAATCTCATCTATGTAGTGTATTTCAAGATAGAGACTTAGACTTGGCTCACTGAAATTCTCCCCTCAGCCGACATTAACCCCACCCCCTCCATGAGCCCCAAGAGAAATCCCTACAACATCAACAAGCACATAAACTTACGCTTCTGTTGGTGATAAAAAAAATGTCTCTTTCCATGTCTTGGATTATTACCTACTTAGGTTGGTGACAGACTACTGGACTACTGATTTTCACTGCGGTAAACAGGTTAATATCACAAGAGAAGTAAGCCATCAACTCAATATCAATGCAGACATTTCAGACCCCAAAAAAAGTTCCAAATAGAATTAGATGTGGTCAACCTCGTTCTAACATAAACCCAACAGGCATGTTTCTTAACCAGATGATGATTTCGGAAAGTTTTGATATGAGTACTTTCTCAGGTTCAATTGCTCCGCCTATTGAGCTAGTAAATTCTCAATTACAAATTCAAATATACCACGACATGAAAACAGAACATGTTTGAGCTGTTAGCAAATTTAAGACACTATTATAGACCTCCTGCCACTCAGCTCTCACAAAAAATGGAGAATGATCAATATTAAATAGTCTCAACTCTCAAACTCCTACCATCACAACCACATCAGTTTAAACAATTTTTAATACAAATAAAGGAAGCAATAATCTCAAGAGCATGAGTCTTTAAAAATGTTCAAATACAAAGCTTCTACACAAATAACTGTAACTTTTGTACGAAAGGGAATAACTTTTAATATTTTACTAATGCTCTTCCAACCTCCAAAACTAAAAATAAAACTTGTGTTTTAGTTTTAATGTAAATTAGACAACGTTAATCATAACAAAATGTCAGTTCCAACATAAATATGATCCTTATTGACTTTGGTGAACTTTACTATTTCTACTTAAACAAAAATACACTCTAGGATCTGTACTTGCTGATTAAACTTGAATCAATGAGAGATAATCTCAAACACTTGAAAGAAGCAAAGGGAAAAAGAACTTGGTTTAAATTTGATATACGAAAAAGTTACATCGTAAAAAGTAGATTCAGAGCTCATTGAGACATATTATCGAACATTTGATAGATGCAAATGGAAGAATAACTCATTTTAAATTTGATAGACTAGAAAGTTACATTATAATTAAACTAGAGACTGATTATTTTCGTTGAAACAATTTGCAGGTGAATCAACTTGAAATTGAAATGAAATCTTCAAGAAAAAATCTAAAACAATTTAAAGGTAAGAAAGTTGATTTCCAAACTTGCCGTCAATTGCTTGTTTCACTTCATGGATTGTTTAGGATTTGTGAAATTCTTCATGGATTGTTGATCTGGAGCTTCTCTCATGGATGCCCAGTCGTCATTGACTTCTACGAAAGATTAATTCCCAGCGCCTATATTTGAGCAGATAAGGAAGAGTTTAGTACTTCAAAATGGGAAAAAATAAGTTGATTCAGAGCTTTGATCCCTCTTCTATAGCCAGTCTTGTTCAATGATATTGTTCCGCCATGGAATCGGATATTGCCACACATGAGATTGTCGGGAGAGACACTTGCGTCTTGCGGTATGAGGGAGGGACAAAGAACATTCCATTAACAAAAAGATACACACTTCATGAAATTTACAAATGTGCCATTAATGATGTGGTAATTTTAAGGCAATCGGACGATTCACACAACTTAATCGGACGATAGCTAAGACTTCTCATTTTTCAGCCTAATATAGGCTTCTCATGGGATCTTTTCTCTCTCTCTCTCTCTCTCTCTCTCTCTCTCTATATATATATATATATATATATATATATATATATATATATATATATATATATATATATATATATATATATAAAAGATCAGGTGAGAAGTGCTCCTTAAAATGAGAAGTGAGAAAAAATCTCAGCCCTTGGATTTGCATGTGATCTTGTAACGCAGTAAACGTATAGACTGAATATAGGAACTTATAACCAATAAATCATAACTTATAAAGCCCTCCATCATAATTACGAAAATGCCACCGCGTCCAAAAAATTTCAAGGTTTCCAGGCTTATTTTTTTGCGATGGTATTTTCGTAATTATTTTCGACGGGGTATATAAGTTATGATTTATTAGTTAAAAGTTCGTGTATTTAGTCTGTTAGTTAAACTTCGCAGTTCTCATACTAAGAGCACTTCTCACGTGATCCGCTCCCTATATAAATATATATATATATATATATATATATATATATATATATATATATATATATAGAGAGAGAGAGAGAGAGAGAGAGAGAGTAGTGTTCCGGTCAGGCCTTCCTGACCGGAACTGCCGTCCGGCCGCCAGATTGTGGGGCCCTTCCCGGTGTTTTTTTATGAAATTTTTATGGCATGTTCTTCATCAAGTCTAGTTTATCCACACAAAAATTCAGCTAAAAATTCAATCCATAAGACCGTCAAATAATTTTTGGACGTTAACTGCGTCGAAAATTTTTCATCAAGTATAGTTTATCTACAAAAAAATTTTAGCTAAAATTTCAATCGGGAAGGTCGTCAAATGATTTTTTGAAGTTAACTGCCATTTATATGTATTTTCCGGCGCAGTTAACGTCCAAAAATTATTTCACGAGCTTCCCGATTGAATTTGTAGCTTAATTGTTTGTTTTATAGTTAAACTATACTGAACATACCATAAAAATTTCATAAAAAAATTTCTTATATATAAAGACAAAATACATTTGGTGATAGTAGAAAATTTTAACAAAGATGGCAAGTGGCAAGTCAGTCAAAAACTACGTATGTAACTTCTTTTAATCGTCACATAAAATAGTAACAAAAAGAGCGACTCCGCTGGGGATCGAACCCAGAATCTCTGGTTTCGTAGACCAGCGCCTTATCCATTGGGCCACGGAGTCATCTGTCCATCGATTGACATACGGGGTTTATATTTACAACCTTTTACTCGTGTGAATTATATAGTTTGAGACTTTGAGACAACCCACTAGATGAAGAAATAAAGGGATAAGAATCAAATTGTTATATCATTTTAATCAGGGTATCTTGAATGGTTCATTTGGAGGACCAACAATTCTAAGACAAGTAATCAATTATTGGGGTATTGCTTTTCTTTTTTTCTTGAGAAAACTAATGAGCTAAAAGTAGTTAGTAGATTGATAAAGAGATTTTTTTCAATAATAAATAATGAGAAAGAAGTTGTAGACAATCACTTTGAAAATATTTTTACTAGAAATGCTGGTGTGACAAGTCAAATCACAAGTATAACTAGTGAAACACTATTGGGGTATTGCTTTTCTTTTTTCTTCTGAAAATCAATTAGCTAAAAGTAGTTGGTAGATCGATAAAGAGAATTTTTATCAATAATAAATTACGAGAAAGAAGTTGTAGCTAATCATTAAAGTACCTTTTACTTTGAAAATATTTTTACTAGAAATGCTGGTGTGACAAGTCAAATCACAAATATAACTAGTGAAACATTCAAGATGACCTTGGTGGGATGTCCAAATCATTATTCGTGTACAATATAGCTAGATTTACATGAGCAGTCAGAGTCCTTAGTTTTTCATTTTCCATGCTCATTTTGAAGCCCATTTGATACCACCTCTATCAAGCTTACATCTTCCATGCTGATTATTGAATTGATAATAATTTTCCTACAATCAATTTCCATTACATTTTTTTCATATTCACAATGTATCCAAAATTTGATTTCATAATCAATCTCGAACAGGTTCAAACGTGGCAAAAGAAAAGGGCAAAATTAAAATGTAAATGTTTAGTTACAAGATAGTTGCCTAAGTGAACAACTCTATGAAAACACCTCTTTGGAAAATATTACATATATATGTAATTATTATGTACGTAAGTATGACAAGAAAACCCCATAAGTTAGTGAAAAGTGAAGTCCACTTCAAGCTCCCATCTTTTGTCACACTGAAAACCTACAGAAGACAATGCTTCATGAGATTCTCAAAGTACCATGATCATCACACAATTATCAAAGATGGAGAAGGCGAGAGCCGTGGCAAAGACAGCTTCTCCAGATAGGGCACTTCAAGGAGAGGCAAGAACATGTGATTGACTCGCAGCAGTAACAATTTAAGCAGGGCAATTCATTGCAGCAACAACAAGACTTTGGTTGTTTACAGCAGTGGCAACTTAAACAGCAGTGACACTTTGGTAGTTTGCAGCAGTGGCAGCCTGAGAAGGGCCATCCACAGCAGCAGCTGCATGGGCATCTTGGCAGTTTAAACCAGTGGCAACGTAGACAATGACAAGAGAAAGATAACCGGCTCAACCATTTACAAGAGAAAGATAATCGGCTCAACCATTTACATGGGAAACATAACCAGCTCAACCGTTTACAAGAGCAACGCCAACAACTTAAGCATGCACATGAGCAGCCTGAGCAAATAGTGCTATGTCTTTTCCTTAAGCAGCGGCAATGGTCACATGTCCAACCAGCACAGCAGTATTGGCACCTTGTTGGTTCAGGCTTCTTTGCTCTGCAATACATAGAGTTCCCATTCCTTACCCATAGAAAAGGATGTTTGAGAAAACTAGCAGGTAATCACATTAAGTGCCTGTTTGGCAAGATAGATTTTTTCTGCTTGTATTTTCTACCAAAACCTAACCTTGTTTAGATATTCTAGCTGAATAACTGAAAAAAGTTGTGCACAAGTTTGTTTGGGCGAAATAAAACAAATGACTCTTTACCTATATCTTCATGTACTCCAATTCCAATATATTAATCCTACTTTGACTTGGCACATTTATTAAAAAAGTAAAATTGTATAATTGTGTTTGATCTAAAAAGGAGAGAAACCATACCAACCACACAAATCTACCCTTAAAAGGATATACGAAGAAAAACTTGAGATCACTAAATGAAAAGTGGGAAGAAAATTACGGAATGTAGAGAGTATGAGTTATTTTAATTTATTTATATATCGATTTATGATACAATAATTACTAATTATTAAGATAATTAAGCCACAGCTTCAATAATGTTAGCTAATCCAAAATTACTTCAACCTTACCAAACGGGTTATAACCAACTATATATGTGTTTCTAACTTTCCCTCTAAATGTGTGTAGTCATATTTAATCAAAGATTAACTCAAAGACAGTAGTTCACACAAGCCAAACAAAGAAGGGTAAGGTATGTCACTCACACTGGATGAGCAACAAAACTGCTAGAAGTATGACCATTTGCACCTGGTCCTAGAGGTACTACATTGTGGACACCCTTTTGTGGGCAACCATTGTTATCATCTCCACCTACTGAAGTCAAGGGGCACATATGCCCATATCTCACATGTTCTACTCCATATGTGTCAAGTTCCCCAGACCTGAAAAATATATCTCCAGAAAAGCTATGGTTTCCAATTTGGATACTAAACAATGATTCATTGGAAGCAGTACTCCAATCTGTGGGTGTAGATGACTTGCTCCTGAAAATCGAAGAGGGTGGTCCATGATGGGTATCAAAGCCTCCAGCTGGATTTTCCATGGTTGACGAATGTTCTGAATCCTTTGAGGCAGAACTGATAGATGTATCCAATTTTTTACATTCACTCCAAGGTTCAAATGAGAAAGAAGAGTCTGGAGTTGAGGGGTCGCTTGTTAAATTTGATAAAGAAACTGTATTGGAGTCGTTAAAGTCTGCAGGACTTTCCATGACCTGAACTGGAGGAGACTGCATTGGGGCCCATTTCTGCAGCATAGTTTCATCTGAAACCTCTGAAGTAGAATTTGAAGATGCAAACAGTGCTTTTCCCGGTATGGAATAGTTTCTATGCCTTTCATTGATGTCATTCAGAGCTTTATCAAATGAAAAAGTTGCCTGTGTTTCTTCTGGATTTGTTTGGGAGAAACCGTGAGAACTTCTTGATGTCGACGACGATGACGATGATGATGACGATTGTAGTGGTGAGAGGGGAGGTTTTGAAGAATTAACTTCACCTCCATGGTCCATTTCTGTTTGATAAACACAGAAAGGAGTTACTGCAACATGAAAATTGCTTGTTATATTTATGAAAGCTAAAATGATCAGATTTACTCATGAAGGGATAAAAAAAAGTGTGAAATTCAGTGCAGGTCTACTTGTACAAACTTTTTGGCATAGAACTCTGAAAAAACTTGACTATGTTTTCCATCAATTATTGCTTCTGAATTTAGTTATAATAAAGCATTCCCCATCAACCAACATTAATTGGAATTACCAATTTGGTCATAACTAGATAATTCAAAAGATTTTAGGATTAGAACCTATATAATAAACCTTTCTCCATTTTAGAAGTTCCTTAAACTATTTCACAATAGACCAACACTCTTTCAATCTCAGTTTTTATGTATCCAATTTTTTAGACATTCAAATTCTATTTTTGAGGTTCAATAAAACTTTTTAGTCTAATCTAGCTTCTAAATTTGTGGATATGAATTATTAATACTCATTTAAATATTATATCCGGAAGGTTAAGTAGTTAACCCTAATTACAATCAAACTTCACAAACAATATCATCCCCACCTCAAAAAAACTCTCGTTTGTAATGTTAAAATCAGTATTACAAAATGACCCTTGTTTTAGAAATGCGAATTTCTGGGAAATTTGGAACTTACTCCTTTAGATAGCCATTTAGATTGCACCATTCCCTGCACTCGGAAGATTTCGCCTTTGGTTGGTTTTGCCGGAAGCAGCTCCGGCAACCATTGTCTGCCTCGCAGAACCTATATCAACGTATTTCCAACAAAATGTCCAAAAGAAATAAGGAAAAACGATGATATAGGGATTCTGTTGCAAATTTACACAAAAAAGCTTGAAATGTTTAAGAGAAAAAAGGAATCTTTTTAAGAAAGATGAAAGTACCTTAGAATTAGCATAAAGTTTTTCTCAATTGCCCAAATGCCACAATTTAATTACCGTAAAAGTAGTGGATGCGGTGAAAGTTACATAATTGTTACTCTCGTATGGTTTTCCGGCGTCTGGGGATTGAGAGAAAATGCACGAAATGTCGAAATCGATGTACGGTTGATCGAAAGGAGAAAAGAGAATTGGGATTTTCGGGGGGAAATTAAAACAAATTGAAATCGCGGGAAATGCAGATTGGAAGGCAATGAGTGTCTTACGGGTGTGTTCTATTTGGCGCCACGATGCATATCTTCAATCACGCACTTGGCGCGTGCATCAATTAAGAAACCATTATGAAGACCGTTGTAATAACACATTCAAAATTTAAACTGTGAGGTCGTTTGGTAACACGAAAATCGGCTGATTCTGCTAAAATTTATAAAGTTCTGACTGAAGTGGCTGCATTGGTTGATTCTGCTGATTTAAGAAAATTATTTTTAAAATATATTTTATTAATAAAATAAAGAAAAAGTTATATGTAAATATAGCTAAAATGGTCATTTACAGTAACTTCAATCAATACAGCCAGAAAAATAACTTCAATCTTACTTTTTCCTATTATTACACAATTCAGTGCGCGAAAACAAAAATTACGTATTTGATGAAAAAGTTGGCTAATAAGTCTTATAAGCCGAAAAACAGTGTTACCAAACGGCTTCTATGACTGCAACCAAGGGTGGAGGTAAGGGTGAATTGCAAATTATTCCTTTCGTCCCTAAATTAATTTCTCACTTTCCTTTTCGGGTATTCCCGAAATTAACTTCTCAGTTCTTCCCACTTTCTCAGTTGGCAAATTATCTACATCAAAACAATGCAAAACAGTGTCAAACAATGCCAAACAGTATTGAAACAGTGTCAAAACAGTGAAATTTATCCCCAGTAAATTTATTTCCTTAATATGTGTGAAATCGAAGTGACAAGTTAATTTCGAGACCGAGGGAGTATGTCTTACAATAGGTTGTACGGGTAAAGTCGAGTATTTTTCGAGCCTCCTATCCATTGAATATAAAAATAGTACTCTCTCCGTCCCTAAAAGAACTTCCAACTTTCCCCTTTCATCCGTCCCAAGAAGAACTTCACTTTCCCTTTTTGGCAAAGAATTTGTGATTCACAGCATTTCTCTCCTCTGCACAACTCTCCACCACACAATTCCCACTTTTCTAATCAGCGTGCCATTTTATTTTGGAAGAACATTTAGGGACGAAGGTAGTATATAAATTTGATGGAAAACTTATTCAAAAGATTTTTTCATTAGCTAGTCCAATTTATATTCATCATGAGCCCTTGACTACACTCGAGGCCAGTTCGAGGGGACGGGAAACGAGCATGTGCCCAAAGTAATTGATTTAATAGGATCCATAATTTTCTAGTACCTCCGTTCCTATTATAACTTCCAAATATGTTTGACACACAATTTAAGATAGTAGGTATTGTGTGGTGGAGAGTTGTACAGAGGAGAGAGAAATGTGTAAGAAATGTTTTGAACCACAAATTCTTTACAAAAAAGAGAAAGTGAAAGTTTTAATTGAAACGGACGAAAAAGGAAAGTTGGAAATTATAATAGGAACGGAGAGAGTATTAAGAATAACAGAGACATGAAGTTAGTTAAACTTGTGATCTTTTGAATACTTCCACACTTTGCTTACATCTAATCCCTAAAAGCTCACAACTTCTACTTCCACAATAGATGACTCCACCCTTTTTCCGATGAGAAAATTGATGCAGGTGAGACCAAATCATACAAAGTTTATAAAAGTAGGACTTACTTAGTTTTTTTCCATCGGTAAGATTTATTTACATCTGTTTTAGGAAAAGTTGTTTTTAATTTCCGTTTTTACCCCCACTTCCGCAGCGAGCTCTCTCCAGCAACGATCTTTTTTCTTCTTCCGTTCTTCATCTCTGTAATCCTCCAAATTCACGCTCTTCTTTGTAATCATCACCGACCTTAATTCTCACTTCTTCAGTTTCAATCGACCTCATATGCTCCATTAATTGTTTTGCAACATCATTTAGTAGATCACCGACCTTCATGCGCTACACAAATTTTCTACAGTTTTTGGTAAATTTCATTCTGATTTTTTTACAAAGTTCTTACAGTTGATGTATTGATGTATAAATGAAATTCATTTATAATATATTTTGTATCAATTTTTTCATCTTCAAGTTTTAATTCGCACTCTGACCTTCAAATTGCGGAGTTTTCGACAACCTCTCGATGTAATTTCATCATTAGATATAGTAAATTGTGTATATAATATATATATATATATATATATATATATATATATATATAGTTTTACGTTACCTGCTCTGCTATTGAGCTATTATCAGAACTTATTGTCTGTTTAATGACTACTTATTGTCTATGTATTGTCTGCTATTGAGCTATTATTAGAACTTATTGTCTGTTTACTGACTACTTAGCGTCTATGTATTGTCTAGTGTTTGCAAGTTTGATTTTGGATCTGCTTTCTTCAAAAGTTTTGCAGAATACCTGATAGTCGTGAAAATATGAAATGGAAGTTCGAATTTGGCAAAATAAATGTCCAAAATCAGAAAAGAAAAAGAAGAGGAGGAGGAGGAGGAGGAGGAAGAAGAAGAAGAATAAACCTCTGCTGGCGGCATCCGATGAAGTCGACCGGAGCGGCGTGAATTCGAAACCGATGAATTCGAACGCAGGACTGGCGGCGTTCGAGAGATTCGTATCAAGATGCGAAACCGATGGATTCGAACGCAGGACTGGCGGCGTTCAACAGATGCGTATCAAGCTTCGAAGGTTTCAGTAGGCATTTGCTACCTATTTGAAAATTAGGGGTATTATGGTCAAAGTAAGCATGTTTTAGTCTTACGGTAATACTTAACCAATCATTCCAGCCCAGCTGGTTGTGAGGTTACCGTGCCTAGTGAGATATCTCGGGTTCGAAACTCGCTAGACACATAAGGGTTTGAAACTCAATGAAGTGAGTTTCAACCCTGATTACTCCAGACCCCTCAGCCCCCCTCCCCCAGACGCCCCCTGGAGTAAAAAAAAAGTCTTACGGTAATACTTAGTCTTAGTTTTATAAATTTAATATGATTAGGTCCTACTTGTTGAAATCTCCCTTTTCCGATTCAACAAGGATCTCTCATGTAAAATTGTTAATTTGCATTAATACATACACCCGTAATTCACCAGTAGTATTAGGTTGATTTTTTAATTTTCTTGTGTGGTCAAAAGACTAAAGTGATATATTTAGAACTAAAAAAATTACAATTATTTTATCTTGCTTTCATATATGCGCAAATTATATGCTACACCCGGGTGTACACGTATACCCGGTATTTTTGTAATTGTTTAGAGATGAGTTATGTGGCTGGTCAACTACCCTGTTTGAAGTTTGCATCATCATTTTTTATTCCAAATTGAAGCTAAGCTGTGGCGCATGCGAAGAGAAGATGAATAGGCCGACACGAAGGAACTCCAAGGGTTTTTGCCCATCTGACGCGTGGAGTGCATGCTGGAGTGCTTTGATTTATGGCCAGAGTTGTTGGATTGCTTTGATTAGTTCATGGCCTAGCAGTTGCTCATTTTTGAAATGATTTTTATGTTACACATATATGAGCATCACTTTTAAAAAAATGAGCATTGGTGTAACATTATAAAATGTGTACACAAAATGAGTTTTATGCTATATCCAAATGAGTATAATATTTACACGAAATGTACATCGATATAACGTTTTAAGATAAACACTATTACAGCTGACTATTAAGATGTTTTGATGCTCAATAGGTTTAGAAATATTTATGCTGAATAGTGTTTAGAAGATAATAAATATACTTTTAAACATATCGTTATGTTAAACAAAAAAATAATAATTACTACCTCCGTCCCTTAAAACTTTACCAAAGTTGACCGGCACGGAGAATAATAAAGTAAAAACTGTGTGGTTGAGATTTGTGCAGAGGGGAGAGAAATAACAGAAACCACAAAATAATTGATTAAAAGGGAAAGTGGCAAAGTTTTTTAGGACGTCCCAAAAAGGAAAGATGGCAAAGTTTTAAGGGATAGAGGGAGTAGAAGATATGAAGCAGAGATCATGATACTCATTGTTAGCCTCATAATACTCAATACAATAGGTCATATGCTCACTAAAAGTACATTATTGCTCATTTAGCGGGAACCATGATTTTCGCTTAAATTACAAAAATGTCACCGAAAAAAATTAGGTTGTTTTAATTAAATGGACTTTCTTAATTAGGTCCTTTTTGTGGGCCTTATTAGGTTCTTTTTCTTACTTTTTCATACTTATAATGAGTATTACACAAATATCAAATGAGTATACATACTTACGAAATGTGCACCAAAAAATTCAAAAAGATCATTTAAAATCTCTAGTATATATGTTCAAATATTAAATGTGAATACATAACGTGTGAAATAAGTATCAAAAAGTTCAAAATGATCATTACACCAATATGCATGGATATGATATTTAAGTTGTCAAGTGTAATGCTCATTTTAAAATGAGCATTACACCAATATAAAATGAGTATAGATAATTTACGAAATGAGCATCGAAAAATTTAAAAGCTCGTTTGAATTCTCTAATGTGTTCAAATGTTCGCACATATATTATAATGACAAATATAGTAATGAAAAATATCATAATTTCATATAAAAAATAATTTACGGTCTCGCGTTCTGGAATTACAAATATAATCAGGTTCTTTTTATAATATTTACTAATGCATATTTACTTTAAACTATATACTCATTTAGTATAACACAAAACTCATTTTAGTAATTAGCACATAATATTTAATAAACTAATAAATATTCTTCTTAAATTGAAAATAGAAAATTAAAAGATCAATACCTCAAATATTCATCATAAATTAAAATCATGGATAACGTGGTTAAGAAAACGGAAAATGAAATAAACAAAAGCCTACGTAAAAAGAAAAAAATTCCAGCCATATGCACTCTAGCACATGCAAGTAAATTAAAGATATACAGTACTACGCAGACACGGAAGTGGCCAGGTAAAGAGAGCAGACACGGAATCCACTTACGCAGGGAAGACGGAAGAATGCGGACCTATCGAGGAATTACAGCCCATAGAAATCAGAACGAATTACAAAAATACCAGAACGAATTACAAAAATACCCGGATGTACGATCATATGATATATCATTCGCATCTTTTCCAAATCCTAATTTTCTAATTGCAAGCAATAAATCAATAAATGTGCTCTGTTCGATTTAAGAGTGTAACATCTTTGTCTGTTATTTATCAAACACTTGGCTTAATTGAAATGTTTTATTTGTTTTTTTTCAGTGTCTTTGATGTCTAGGTGCAGTACTTTTTAAAAACGTGCTTAATATTTGTTATGATAACAAAAAATATTTTTAATACATAATATTATCATAAAATCTACTCCACTTTGTTTATATCATCATGGTTCTATAAAATGACAGGACCGGACTATTCGGTAGTCCATATTTCCATTATTCCACTCCATGTTATCAGGTTATATAGGATGTGGTTTTTTATGACCTCCAGATTTTGGAAACCTTGAATTCTTAGTTTGGGCTTGAAACCAAATGTCCAAATTAAGCATATGATAATGAGAAAAAACAATTTTTATTACTATAGGTCTTGCCTTCTGCAATTAAAATGCATTTTAAATGATCTGAGTTTACCAACCATAACTTAATCTTATCTTTCACTCTGATTTTTGTCAACACAGCAGTTCATATTAGCCTGCTCATCGGCTCATGTCATTGGAAAGGTATTGTGTCAAGCAGTCAGTGTAAAAGAAAAACCAAACTGGCAGTGGAGGAGGGTATTGCCTCATTACATTGGATCAAAACGCAAGGGTCGTGCTTGGGCAGCTATCCACCGTGCAAGACAAAATGTCTCTATAATCCCGTGATATCCTGAAGGAGTCATGTACTTTACCATCCCTGCTCTTCTTGTACTCAAACAGGAGGTTTGAATGATCGAACGCTGTTAACTTGACAAATCCATAGTCTTGGTCTTTGGACAGACTCCATGAAGTCGATATGTTAGCAAAACCCGCGAGGCCTGCACCTCCTCCCCCGGCAACAACATGTATTGTCCCGTTCAAGCTGCCTCTATAGAAGTGTTGCTTTTTGCTTGTACAAATATTCTGAACCAAAAGGAAATAAGAATAAATGTTACTCCATATTTGGTTGAGTGCCTATCTGTTGATGAAACAAAACTGGTCTCATCTGAATGTGATAAATATAGTCACAATTCATTGAGACCTTATTGTTATTTTGTATTTTCCAACGCGCAATTGCTTAACATCTACCACAAGATGGTGATAGACAAATATTGAAGCATATGTTCTAGATTGGTAGGCTTTACATCATCAAACTGCTTCTTTGAGAAAAGAAGAAAAGTTGTCCACCATTGTTGAAGCTAATTCAACATGAGATATAATTTCATTGATATAAATTCAAGACCATATGGAACACAGCATTCCGGATTGTTCAAATAGTTTGAACCTAAACAAAAAGGTTTTCTGAGGTCTCAATTTGAATACCCTGAAGGATCACAGCCGATCACTAGAGATTTACCATGTCCAAGTCGTTAACTTCATGGTTTGCGGGATCGGGCTAAAGGTCTCGAACACCCGCGTTAGTAAAAAAAACATGTGAAATGGAAAACATATTAATGAACGCATGCTTTTTATATAAAAACCTAAATGAGAGAACAGTGGGACTTTTCAGGTTAATCCAAGTCAAAGGTCCATTTTAGTGATCTAGTAATTTCTACACGCAAAAGGGTATGTAAAAACATTAACAAGCTCTACAAGCTTTTTAGGTTTCTATAGGGAGAAAGAGAGAGAGAGAGATCACCCTAATGTGAGTATAAGCTTGGGCTAGGGCTTTTCTCCCTAATTCTTATTTAAATAGGACCGCTCTACTTAAATTCCTATTTATTGGATTTTAGGTTGGGGCTTTTCACCCTAATGGGTCATCAAGTAGATTTACGCTGGGCCCAGAAGACTAAATCTACTTGATGACCCATTACGGTGAAAAGCCCTAACCATATGGGCTATGAGCAATAATAATCTCAACACAATCAGTTTCTTGACTTGTAAGCGCAACCGTATATATTAAAGCTTGAGGTTACATCTTTAAGGAGCCATCTCCAGTCTTATATGTGTGTGTTTTTAAAGTATTCTAACGTAGGATGACTCAACAGTTTTCACATTTGAGAATAATATATTCAACAAATCATCCCGGGTTACCTGGTAAATAGGGCATGTCCTTTCATAGTTATGGACGTGACCATACATGGCAATATCTACTTTATACTTCTGCCAAAGCTTTTGAAGGCTTTCTCTTCCCATTGGCTCTCCAAATGATCCTTCAATGGCATAGGACTCACCAGAAGAGTAGCCAAGTACCCGGTGGGCAAGGAAAATGAGCCACGGTTGTTTATGTCGGTCAACAGATGCAAGGCATTGCTCAATGAAATTATGTTGCTCTGTTCCCTCTCTCCAGTCATGTTCGGTGTCAGCAATGCAAAACCGGAACATGCCATAATCTGTAGAGTACCTGAGGAAACAAAACACACAAAAGGAAGATGTGAAAGCACAAACACTTAACTGTAAACTTTAGAGATGTACGAAGCCTGTAATATCGGTGAAAGACATTAATCAGCTAACTCGAGAAGGGTTCTCCCTTCAAACCATACTCCAAAACTCCTAGGGTCCGTTTGGAACCCGGAATGCTAGATTGCTAGATATAGAAAATATGGAGGAGATTTGGGAGAAGTTTTAACAAATGGTTCAAACTAGTTCTATTTAATACTCCGTAAATAATAAGATATAAATACACAAATGTAAGTTTAAGCGATAGAATAGTCGAAAGAGATTTGCTTCTTACTTTAAGGTAAAGACAAACATTTAAATTAACAAAAATAACATTTGCATTCATTAGATTCTTTTTTCATTTCCCTGCCATTCTTTGCATGTCAAACGCACCACAACGCTATTTTTGGGTCCTGAGAAACGCCGGGGAAAAGGGAAAAAGGAGTTATGAAATTTTATATTCTGATACTACTTTGTCCCTAAATAAAGTTCAGGATAACTATAGGTTCTCTCTTTTATAAATTTAACTCTTGTCATATTCAAGTTAGTTTTGCGGATCACTAAAAGATTTAGTGTAGTTTCTAAATATGTATGTTTTAATTTTAATGCTGAATTAAATATTGTCAGGGAGTCAACTGCCAAACACCGTAAGCAGAAACTGAAATATAAATTAGAGACGGAGAAAGTATTTATATTTGCCTTGAAAAATGAAATATGCTTAAAAAACTAAAAATGTCGTATATTTAGGTTTCTTGGATATGACATAGCAGAAAAAAAAATGAATTTGAACATATCTAACATAATTTTATGGAGTAACGGTTGGCTGCCATACCAGAACTTTTCCCTATTTTCAGCAGGAACATAAAACATAGTTTGAGCTGGGACACCACATTCACCACCCGAGTCCATGTTCCCATAGAATGAACCTGACCCAGGCCAATCACGCTCGTGATTGCCACTGCAAAATACAAATTATTACTTAGCTATATCAAAAGAAAGGATGCACCCAAACAGGTTCTGAAATGGAGTCACGCTCCATACCTTGCGATCATGTAAGGTACACTTGAAGCGATCGGCTCTACCTGCGACGTAAACTGGTCCCACTGAGAGATGTAACCATTTGCGTAGCAGATATCCCCAATGTGAAAAACTATATCATAGTTTTTCAGATCATCGATCAGCTGCTTAGTGGTATTAAGGGAACCAGGTTGATAGTTGTTATACTCACTAGACCCATCAGCTTCCTCCTGTGCTTTGTAAAGTGGAAGTACATTATAGCCACGCACATGTATGACATATAGTATGAAGAATAAGATTGGATCTATAATTGAGGATTCTCAAACATTTATTAAGGGGTTCATTCATATATAGGGTAATGGTGTCGTTTGGATATCGGCGTTTTGGCTAAATATTAGCGTGTTTGACCATTTTAGCGTGTTGAACCATAGCAACAGCTGCTTTTTTCCTGTTTGGCAAATGGAGGTTGGCCTTGGCGTTTTGGAAGAAACCTCCAAAAAACGAAGACGCTACTACTCGTAGCGTTTCAACTTTGGCGGGTTGGAACACAGACTGAATTCCACGGTTGCCCCTCTGTCTTTCCGCTGCAGCCTGCTACCGTTTGCCTTTTCAATCATTCGATGCTCCTCACTAGTTTGTTACTCTTGCAGATTATTCTCGAATGTACATGTGTATTACTACTCTCTCCTGTAGAACAATCCATTCAATCTATGTTTTGATTTCAATGGGTATCGAAATCTGTGAATACATGGATACTTGGTATATAATACTCTGCAGATATGTATCCTACTTTTAGATTTCTATTAATGCTTATGAATTCATTACATTTTATTATTATATTATTATTTAGTTAATTTTAAAGTTAAACTGACAGATATAATGTCGTCAGCACAATTTCGGAGGGAAGAAGACAAAGTGTCAGCTTTCAGTCTTCATCCTGTCAGTCAAGGAGACAGATTCGATAGGAAGTTACTCGAAAGAAAGATGACAACATTTCGTCGGACAAGTTGATCAATACGTCACGTCAAGTCAGTGACGAGCCAATAGGTGCCATGAACCAAGATGTGATGTGTACTTTCAAATTTTCGACAAATTGATGCTTAATGGGTCGACGTGTGGATGATACGCCTCAACTTCTCGAAAGGGGGCAATTGTTGGTGCAGGAATTTGACATGTTGTTCAACTTGTTCAACTTGTTGTTCAAAACAAGTCGAATCCGCCACAGTCGAATAACCTACGCCCCTCTCGATTAGTCTTTTTTCATACTAACCGCTAAAAACAAATCGCTAGTTTACCAAACATTTTTCTGCAACCCGCTAAACAAACTCACTGATCAGATCCGCTATTTACTACCCGCCAATAAAATCCGCTAACCACTAACCGCTGAGTGCCAAACAGGCCCAATATAGCACATGAAGGGAACTTTTTAACAGATGTGAAGTTATATAGATGTTTGACCACCACAAAGACACAAATCCAAATGGTAAATCTCACAGCATTATAGGGGAGGGAAAGAGAGGTGGTGACGTGGTGTTTATTTTTTAAACTATTTCTACATTAGATAATTTGAGTGAAAATGAAGAACTTTATAGAAGTACATGGTCTAAGTTTTTCTAGTCTAAACTAACAAATAAAATACAAATTAGTAAAATAAAAAATCAATCGTCACCTTATCAGAATTGCTGAACCATACAAGCCTTTAAAGTTTGAGAAAGCACAGAATAGTTACAAAAATATCAAACATGTTTCTTTTTCGTTTGCATTTTCCAATGTAAAACGAAAAATAAAATTTTCCATGATCCAAAACATACCCTAAGTGGGTCACATATTTGAAAAACAAACATATCTTTCTCTAGTTCTGTTATGTAAGTCCAAACCTTTCCCATGTCGCCAAAAATGATCACACGCTGTACAGAGTTTTGGCCAGGATAAGGAGATGACTTGAATTGGTAAATCTGACTCCAGACGTATGTGCCATTTAACAGCTTATGACCCAACTTGTAAGTATACCTGTAAAATAATATGGAGTACACCTTTTAATTATTTGACAGAGAAAACATTAGTAATTTGAATTAGTTCAGGATCAACCAAGAACTTTTTAAGAATAATTCTAGAAGTGTATATAAAACCTACAATGAGTTGGGCCAAAGCTCCTTGAGGAAGGCCGTGTGAATGAGCCCTGGATCACGCCATCCAACAGTTCTAGCAGGTGCACCTGCACAAGCCATTTTGGGTAACACACAATCATGCCCATCATACAAGAAATAGGGTTATAAGCAAAACATTTCCCAGATAATAATAGGATTCAAAGGGAGACTGCTCAAGCTCACCACACATGCTACTGCGGTCAAAAGTGAGAGTCCCAGCGGGGGAGTGTTTCTGGTCTCCCCCTTTTTTACCCCACTCCACAAATGGCTCTGCCTCATTGATCCCATATCCACTTGTCCATGTCACTGTCATCTATGAGCATTTTTTTAGCAGTCTTATCCCTTCAGCTTCGTAAACGTTATTATAAGAAAAAGCAACAGATGACGCAAAACTAAGTTTTATTGCAATTATGTACTTACTTCATCCCACATCTTCCCTTGGGCTAACCTCGGGTACAATGGTGCATTTGGATTTTCAAAGGAAACTATATCTGACATTGCGACAAGCTTTGGCTGTTAATTAAGACACAAAATGCAAGCATTCTGAGTGACCATTCATAACTAATGTTATGTATGTCAAATATGTGAAAAACATTCTAAGGAATGAATAGCACTACAGTGATCAGTACAAAACATACTTTTGATAATCCACCAGAAAACAACCCAAAAGAGAAGTTCGATCTTTGGTTGATTAATTGAAGCTTAAGTGACCCGCTTCCCGTCTCTATGTACTTGGAGTTGGAGTAATTTGCAAATTGAAACTGCATAGATATTTCAAATGACAAGTGACTAAGCGAGTCTTTTAGCCCATTTTCTAGACCTAAGACAAAGAAGCATTTAAAATAAAGCTTCCAGGATGATAATTTTTTGGACAAGAGATGTAAAAAAAACCTTAATAGGTGCCGTACACAACCAAGGTTGACTTGTCATTTGATTTTCAGGGAGGCAGGTTGATGCACTGAAGGTAATTCATTTTTTTAAAAGGTAGTGCATAATATTAGCACGCAGTTACCAAATTCAATGCAAACTTCACATCAAGATATATTACAACGTCACTGTCCCCAATTATGTTCATTTTACCTGAAATTTCCCGGAGAAAACACTCCAATCCAGTCATCACTAGATGGATTTGGTTTGCCGTATTCCAAAGTAACCCATTCTTTGTTTTGACCCTGAAACCAAATTACACTAGTACGAAATCAAGAACATAAATCACTACTTTTATTAGTGACTAGTAAATCAAGAAGTTGAAGCGCATACATTTCGGCCGAGAAGAGAAGGATAAACTTTAATAAAAGACTGACTATCCAAAGCAACCACTGAATTATGAACTGCAATCCTTGCCAGTGGCTGTATCCCATGAGATGTTACTCCAAGAAGGAAAGGCATGAGCAACCAAACTGGTAGTAAGGCCATAAAAACTCTAGTTGCATCCATCCTATAATCTAATATCAATTCGAAAGACACGACCAAATCTGATATCAATTTCCCATATGCATAAAATCTTGACTTTATTGTTGAACCATAGGGTTTTAATGAAGTATGAAAAAACTGATTTTTTTATTTAAAATTTGAGTAATGGAATTATGACTATCCAAACTAACCCGAATTGTACTTCTTAGAATATGCTGATACAAGCTCACATATAAACCTCCTAGTATTGGATTAGATCTCTTCGGGGTTGACTTCAAGTATTAATAGAGTAAAAGCCATTGTATATTACTTTGTATCATTATCATATATGGGTTGGCTGGTCAGAAACGATTTAACATCTTTGATCCACATAAAACTAGCTGAAGGAGTAAACAACTAAAATCCAATCTGGGTTAGCATTCAAGAATTCACTCAATTGAAACTCGGAAACTGAATAAAAAAATAGAAGACTACATATGGGATTCAAGAAAAGGAAGCATTTAATCTTGAATAGCAATTGAGCATTAATATGAACCAAAAATGGCAGAAAAAATAGAAACAGATGACGGACCTTGAGTGGGACACTGGTAGTTGTCTGATTACGATAAGGATATGAAAACGTTAGAGGGAAAAAGTTGATATTTAAAGATTATGCTTCCGGTCTCTCATGTGGGACACGTACGGTTGCAGTCAGAGGGAATTTTATGTATTGATTGTTTAGACACACTTGTACACACCTTATACACACCATTTTTGTGAAACTTTTTTTTGTCTGTGAATCCGGTTCACAGACAATATTTTGTTTGTGCAAAACATTGTCTGTGAATCGATGTTCACAGACAAAAAAAAAAGCTTTCACAGACATAGGTGTGTACAAAAGTGTGTATAAGAGTGTGTACAAACATCATTTTTGTTTTTAGCAAGTACGAAGTAGGAAATACTGTAACATTTATACCAACTTTTTGGCATAGAAGAGATAATGAAAAAGTGAAGAAAAGTTCAAGTACATAGGTTTATGTAGTTTAAACATAAAATCACAAAGTTACTCAATATTTCACCTGTGCGATGCACGGAATAATATTATAAATCTAAATCATTAATTAATGATTATATTATAATTTATTGATGGAATAAGAGTAACCATTACTAAATGCATAATAAAAAATAGTTGAGGTTTAATACGCATTCAATTTTACAAATTATTGAAGACTTCTTTGTATACAATATTTTTTGCGGTTTTTTTCTGCTTTCCCTCGTCGTCACATATCACGAACTTCAATCCAGACGGACTCATAACTCTCAAAACTGCAACATATAACGTCGTAGAAAAACACCCACATTTTCTAACGATTGTCCTTGACTCTTGTTCATCGCCATTGCATAGCTAACCATCAAGGGGAATTGCCTACGCATAAATGTGAAAGGTAGCCACGTATCCGACGGGGTTAGACTAATCCTTGGGATAAGAAATTTCTCACATGCATTAGTTCCAGACATCATCTGTGCCTCAATAATATGTTCATCAAGTTTTGTCACTAAAAGTCGTGTACCATTACACAAGCCACCATTAGTGCTAAAATTGAAACGAAAACAAAGAACAATATTTTGACTAATTGGAACAATAGAAATAATGTCACGGCTTTTCAATTTTCACGGACTTCAACTTCTTGTTAGATGATCCCTGAGTTGAGCCATCACAATTCGGAGTTGATGTTCCTTCTATTTTTCGACGACGTGAAGTCGAATTTGGAGTATCGGTTGCATCATTCTCCATGTCCGGTGTAACCTACGGTCAATAGGATTTACAGGATGTCAAAATAGTAATCAACAAATGAAAAATAATGTTTGATACTTTGCTAGAACGTAGCAGAAGTATTTTTCATTTGAATGTTTATAATGCAGAGTCAGGGGCATACCACATTTGATTCTACTGTAGCTGCTCCGGTTTCAAAAAGCAATTCGAGATCCTCATCAGAGTTATATGCATGTACAATTTATGTGATTATTTTGAATTTAAAAAAAATACAAACAATAGTCCATCCATCGAAGTCTGAATATATTACCTCACTAATTGACTCTTCAGCGGCTGATTTTTTAATCTCATCTATTTTTTCTCTATTCTTCGACACCATTCTTATGGCGTAAATCTGTCCGTCACTGCCAGGAACCAAATCCGCACGGTTGATTTTGAAAAGGTACTCTTGTCCAACCAGTTCATTTATGGTATCAGGACAACTCGTAAAAATGATAACCATTGTAGGCCTTAGCGGAACGGGTGCGGGAGCTACCCCCTGGTGTACTCTTGTACTCTTGTTCTACGATTATCCTATATCACATAAAATGATTAGAAGTTACACACTGAAAAGCCACAATTTAAATATTAAAGTGTACAATAGATTTAGAATAATGGTGTACCCTGTCAAGATGCTCACTAAAATCGCTTGCAGCCTTTCCAAGAAGTTGGCGTGCCGCATCATCCCAAAATATCACATCTGCAAAATGTCTTTCGTGCCTAACTTTGAGTTTTAGTGTGTATCGCCATATGCCATTAGGTCTATGCATCCCACACTTCTCACACATGTAATCATCAGTTAGTTTCTTGAAGCACTTTAGTTCCCTACATCCAAGGTACGCCCAATTGCGGAAGGAAGTTATTGAATATACTTCACCATAGAACCAATATCCACGTACTGACGTACCTATCTCCTTTGGAAATGAGATGTATCCATAAACGCAATTCAAAACTTCAAGACATTAAGAAAAAATATAGAATAATGAAATCAATAGATATATAATGATCTCACTAAATTAATCAAGGTTTAAGATCAGGAAAGAGGTTTAAGCCACATACGCATACATATCAATCGCAAATATCATTCAGTTTCTTGAAGCCCCATTTCCATTTTTTGTTGATTAATCTTCAAATTTGCCAACCTTTTTGGTAGTTTAATACGTATCTTGTGATGTTAATGCATTGTTGTATTAAATTAGTAGTATTTTGATTAATATGGCATATGAATGATTATTTAACAAATTGTATTGTGATAAGAATGTTTGTTTTTAATGTTAAAATAAAACACAAATATTAAGCTTCTAATTCAACCTCAATATCGTGCTCCTGACCGCATCTCCTATACATTCAGCCATATTAAAAGGATACACTCCCCTTAGGGAATTCTTTTTTCTACACAAAACACAAATGAAAAATGTAAAAGTCAAAGTTTTTTAATTTCAGAAGCAAACTGCCCCATAATTTATATACCCTGTTTAATATTTTGAAAGATGCATTCATCAAAATATTTTGGATTCATAGATAGAGGATAATGAAACTCTTTGCAAATAAAGTGATGGATGAGAAGAACTTAGCTCCTAAGAATAAAATGAAGTGATGGATGAAACTCTCTGCAAATGAAGCGATGGACGAAAGTATTGAATGTTTATCATTTTATTCTAATATAACAAACTTGATTACTAAGAAATAATAATCACTTCAGCGTCTATGCTTGTTACTTTTGTAAGTGTGCTCTTCAATATAAACTTTCTCTCTTAAAATCCTTGCACAATAAATTGAAATGCCTATAAATTCGACATATTCTTGTCCAAGATGACTTGAGAAACAACATTTAAACAGTGTTTGAGAGAGCTGGTTGAAAGATTAATAATAATACTTTCCAAACAAACAAATTTACTTAGACACAAGCTTGAAGGAGTATAGATAGTCTTCTCACTAAAGAAATTTGACAGATGGTTTTACAATTACATAGATGGTTTTACAATTACATAGATGTAAATATGAAAAGTTTACCTCTTTCATTGTGGAAAGCTCCGACAGCACTTTTGTATAATCAACTTCAGTCAATGTAGTGATGGATGCATTAGATGCACCCGATATAGCGCTATTGGATGGAGTTGGTTGTTGCACCATCACCATATAGCTTCAATAAAGAATTAAGTTATATATATTATTTAAATAATTCCCAGTATAATTTGAATGCAATTGTAACTATGTATTGCATGGTCCACTTCAATATTACATACCACCCTCGAAACTCTTCAATTTCTGGAATGTGGTCATCTAACAGCAATTTTGTGAAATGTAATGAGGAACACACACCCTTCGTATCACCGGTTGCATTAAATTGTCATGATCATATTCTCTAAAACGCAACATAAATTTCATATAACTAAATATAGAAAAAAATTGCATGTTAGTATGTATTAAAAGTACGAAAACGTTTATTTATTCGACCCAATTGTAGGAGCACGATAAATGGATTTTGTCTGGGGACCTCTAGAAACCTCAAAAACTGAGCTGAGTAATCACCCCACAACGTGCACCATATTTTAATGTTCCTGGAAGAAAGTATACTCAATTGTTAAAAAAAGAATATTTAAATACTTGTTAACTTACATATTTAATAAATAAATTTGTATTAACTGTAGGTTGTTTATCTGGAATCTACACCAAGATGTTCCTTCGTCATCTGACTTGAACAAATTATCTTTAATATGGCATGCACCGATGACGTCTACAAAAAAAACTTTAAATTGTGATTACAAAAGTATATGAAAAGTCCAACTAATATAATTTTAATGATTAATACTTACCCAACAAATCAGGAGTTTCTACGTCGGGGTAATTAATAATATCAGAAAACTCTGTCAACTTGTAGATATTTTTTTGGAAGGCTGGATGTTTTTCAATCATTTGATCCAAGATTTTTGTGTTCTCGGTGAAGCACAAACGGAATGGATGAGAAGTTGGCCTCCATTTGCCCTGATTTTCTTTCACTGAAAAATTTACCATTGCATAAAGGCTACCCTCTTCCAGCTTACCTTCTAGCATTGGTATCAATTGGAGTGGAATGGTTGCTTGAATATGTTTGCCCTATAAAATCAATTAGGTATTAATAACAAACACACATTATTGTAACATTTATAGTATAATAATACCGATATTCTGGAACAGAATATATTTCAAACAATAGACAAAAGGTTGTATTCTGGAACAGTAAATAATCAAACACACATACTTCTCATTCTTTCAAATTCTTCTTCTTATGTTCCATGTTGAGTTTCTGAATTTAAGTTTCCTGATTCTTTTATTCTTCGTTTACTTTTCATAATTCAAAAGTAATTATCGTAGAGGCAGCTTATAATCATTATGGATAGGTAATTTTTTCTAAATTAAGTAATATGAGACTAAAGCATTTTGCAAAGGATAACATATAGGCTAAGGAGCTTATGTTTTTTCCAAATGTATGATCTACCTATTTAAAGTAATGGTTCTACAGGTTAAAGAGCTTCTTTCTGATTTTTGGAATTGATATATCATTGCTAAAGTTATTTGTGAAGTAGAATAGAAAAATTATCAGCTGCAAGAATCAGTTTCACAACAAAGGCAATTTTAAAATAGTTTAGTTTAGTCTAAGTTGATCATGGGCCAACCCTATATAAAATTTTGGGTAATTGAGTCTTATATTAGATCCTCCAATTCCAATATATAGGATCCAGTTTAATCAAATACCATATTGGATGATTTACCTCTTCATCCACCAACACTAATTCACAAACTTTTAAACCCGTGTTGTTTTTGAATGGGATAGTCCATTTTCTGGTGACACACAACAGCAACGCAGCATTCTTTTCCAGATCAAGTGTGACTTCGGACAAAACTTTCTTAATCGGTGGCATGTTATCTGCAAAACATTCAAGTACATGGTAAAGTTTGTTAAATTTATGAATCCTATAACATTAAAAGTCCACATACTTCTAAATTTGACACCTTCTGTTTATTACTTATCATTGATTAACATTATAACTTGTTGTTATTCACCCCTAGTATGCTTCCTGGCTGTGCAAATCAGGTTTATTATTCAATGAGGAATGATGTATTAATAAATTAAATAAAAATTAAAATTTAAAGGTAACTCTTGTGACTGAATTTGCCTCACAGTCAGTCTATGTCTCATTAGAAAAAAGGTTAATGAAATACCTCTTGAACGGTTGAACCTTTGCCTTCAAACCTTCAAAGACTGAGAAGCCTGAGTATCCGTCTGTCAATAGTACGTGTGTAATATAATAGGGGGCCGTGTGTAATATAATAGGGGCCGTTGGTTTATACTGTCTATGTATAGATAGAGCCTTAATTATGATTCTAAATGATTCTAAATGGTTAATTATGGTCGTTCACAGATGCCTTAATTAGATTCTTAAAATAAGTAAACCATATAAATACAGTTAGGGTTATTAATGATACTTTTTAATCAAGTCTCAGGATTTTATTTACATATATGTTATAAGATTCTTACCATTCATACAATTAGGTCTTTAATTAAGTCTGACGATTTTATCTATATATATACTACCATTCTTACCATATATATATATATACACACACACACACACACACACACACATATATATATATATATATATATATATATATATATATATATATATATATATATATATATATATATATATATATATATATATATATATATATATATATATATATATATATATATTCAGGACCTTAATTAATATAAAAATATTCCTGATCTTATAAGGCATATGCCATAAGATTCTTACCATTCATACATTTAGGTCTATTCTCAATTAACTTGAATAACAGAAGAAAGAAGAATAAAAATCCAGTCGTTTGTTCTTCTTATCAAAGTATAAAAAGTCCATTCATTTGTAGATGAACAATAAATAACAGTAAAAAATATTGTTCATTGAACAATAAAAAATTGAAAAAGAATCATGAATCAGGAAAAGATGAGGATATACAAACAAATATAAACACAAAATTCACAAATAACATATGTAGTAGCATTTATTGTTATTACATATAATCTCCATAAAAATAACATATTTTTTATATTTATCACACATAATCTCCTACTCCATTCTAAAAGTGAATTTTTTAAACACTAAAGTATATTAAAAGTTTAAAACCTTTGCAGAAGACTGAAGAAACTGATCAATTATACCTTTGCAACGAAGTTGAGTTGAGGCTGCTGGAATTATGTTTTGGATCTACCTTCACGTGTGTAATATAATAGAGGGTCGTTTGTTTATACTGTCTATATATAGATAGAGCCTTAATTATGATTCTAAATGATTAATTATGGTCGTTCACAAATGCCTTAATTAGATTCTTAAAATAAGTAAACCATATAAATACAGTTAGGGTTATTAATGATACTTTTTAATCAAGTCTAAGGATTTTATATACATATATAATATAAGATTCTTACTATTCATACATATATATGTATAAATAGTCGGACTCTTAAATATAATTCAAAATTATTGGTGCTGAAATTTAGAAAAGATACATGTTTCCTTATAAAGGTTATTAGTGGTACTTGTAATTAAGTGTCACGATTTTATATACATATATATGTTATAAGATTCTCACCATATATTGTTGGGAGTCTTAATTAATATAGAAACAAAACCCTTCTCTCTTTATTTAAACACATTTACTATATGCTCTGAGTCTAAACTAGAAGGTCGGCTTATTGCATGTATATTTAGAGAGTTGCAAGTTTCCTTTTAGAAGTGCAGGTTTCCTTGTAGGTTTTTATTCTAGGTTTGATATGTGATTAATATACTTACCATTTTCAAGTTTTTATCGTAAAAAAAGGGTTTCTATATGATACAGATATCTTACCATTCTTATATATTTATTTAATAAACAAAACCCTTCTTTTAAGAAAAAAAGAACTATGGCACTATGCTTTGAACTTTCGTGAACAACACTAGGGCTGTGGAGAACAAGGGAAAGATCAAAGAATTGTTTCTTGCGAAGGAGTACGACAACGTGCTTATCACTATTGTTGACCCCGTTTCACAGCCTCGCATCACTCTTTCGGCCTTGGAAACTGAACTTAATAAGGTCTGTTCACCACATTGTGTTACATGACTATTTATTCTATGTGATGTACTAACTACGTTATGCATGCAGGTTTCAGTCATTTGGGTGTGTGCCAAACTGAATCTTGCTGACACCTCTGGGGAGGCGTACTACATTGGGTGTAATTATTGTAACCGCCGTGTTTATGAACAATTTGTGACAATTTATAGGTACCTCCATGCATAGTGTTTACACCAACCACTTTGCATGGAGGTGCCGATTGGAAGACTATAAATTGTAACAAATTGTGTTATTTACACCAAACCTATAATTGTCACAAATTGTGCATTTTTACAAACTAGTCTTCCAATCGGTACCTCCAAGGTACACAATGTTAACCGCCGTGTATACAAACTAGTCTTCCAAAGTTAACTTATCTTGCTGCCCTCTGGCGCATAAACACGGCGGTTACAATAATTACACCCAATGTAGTACGCCGTGCACCAACCGTCGTGCATGGAGGTACCTTGCATGACAATTTATAGGTACCATGGAGGTACCGATTGGAAGACTAGTTTGTAAAAATGCACATTTTGTGAAAACTAGTATTCCACCCGTGCGTTGCACGTGATGTAAAATGTAGATACTATAAATGTCAACATATAACGAAATTCTATATCATATTACTTTCAAATGTTACATCTTAGTAACTATAAAAGTATGCTCGTAGTTACTTTCACATTTTTGTTCATACATATTTTTTCGTTATGTTTTAGGAATATAATTATGTTCATATATTACATCTATATTAGTGACTACAAAAATATGTTCATACTCATTTTATTCATATTTTTTCCATAAGTCTTATTTTAGTTATATTTTAGGAAAAAATCTATTTTTATCACGCAAGTGAGAGTAACAATAAGTATTAGAAGATCTCCTTGCATATGACACTTCTTGCAATAAGCAACCATACATTAATTGATAGTATGTAGCAATAAGTATTAGAAGTTGGATAAGCACACCCTTTGCGAATTATTGTAGATCTCCTTGCATATGACACTTCTTGCAATTCATCGGATTTCTCTCACTATATCACGAACTTCAAGCCAGACAAACTTGTCACATTCGTTGATAATGATGATGACAATGACAATGACGATAACTAAAATAATAGTATTGTGACAATGATAATAATAAGAATATATTAATATTATTGCAGAGCATATTATTATTATTATTATTATTATTATTATTATTATTATTATTATTATTATTATTATTATTATTATTATTATTATTATTATTATTAAGATTTACAATTCAAATATTTACACATTAATTTCATAAATATCCCAAATATTTTTAAAACTGGAAAAAACACAAAGTCAAAAGCATAATCTGTCTTGAATTAATATCACCGACTATAAAGCACTAAATAATCAATTATTTAGTGCATCCCAAAGAAGAACTAAATAATCAATTGTCTGGCTTGCAAGTCGACGGAGTAGAAATTAAGCACAAAACTCCTATAAAGCATTGATATCAATTGTTCTGCTTGCAAATCTCTCCGGACGGGCCGTGGATGAAAATCTCTCCGCCCTTTGTATAGGTCATAGGCTCATAGCTTCAAACATTGATATCTCCATAGAGAAGTTTGCATATTGCAAGGGTTCTTAAATTTGTGTTGCTCTGAATTCCGAAATACTAAGAGTCTAAGAGAGCATTCATTTCTCATTTTCTACTTTTTCCCTTCTCCCCCTTAAAATGATCTAGTGGTCTCTTCGGGAACATTGATAAAATGATCCATACTCCATAGTGCTTTATATATGTTTTTTGCATTGAGAAGATCATTGGTCGTTCGTTGTGTGGTAATGTTAGGGCTAACAAGAAAAATTTTGTATTCTACTTGTCCACCCCATTTTAACAAATTGTATAAACATGGAAAAATGTGTTACTCTTGTTTTCATTCTCCTTGTGTATAAGTGGTATAATCTTGATAGGGATCCACAAAGCGAAATCTTTTAACATTTTCCCCAAAGAAGAAAGATATAATACTCCATATATAGAGTATAGACAGGGTGCTAACAGTTGGTCAGCCTCCAAAACCCCAACAAATGACAATAAAAACACCGTAAACAGTAAACAATCAATCAAACAAACAAAATGAAGTATGAATACAAAGAACTTAAACTCGATTATGGTAGAAATTAAATTACACAAAACTTCTATAAAGCACCATATTATGATAAAGTACAATATCTCATGTGTTTACTTTCACATTTTGGAAATATCTCACGTATATTATAAATAAAATAAAGAAAAACCATTTACAGACTATCATATTAAATCTTATTATGCACATTGATAATGCAACCTAATATCTACGACATCTGGACATCTAGTTAATGCACTAACATTCAAAGAGACAACATACTCTTGAAAATTAATATATCATAATATATATATATATATATATATATATATATATATAACCTATATATATATATATATATATATATTAAATAAAGAATATTGAAGCTTAATACAACATATGCAAACTACTGAAGTTATAAATAACACCTACTTTCAGTGCATACTATTTTTTATTTTTATATATAAAGTCCAAATTAATAATTAAAATAGTGAGGTTAATTCCTAACCATCCTAACAAATGTGGTTCAAAGAGAAGTCATCCAGACATAATCTTAATTTCTCCTAATAAACCATTGCTTGAGCTCATTTCACTTCTTGGAGGTTTAACTTTTTTGAAGTGCTAGAAGAATTAGCGACAACCTGTAGTGGTTTGGGATGCTTTTCAGCTTCGATCGGATCTAGTCACATGAAATGGTGACGGTTGAAATAGACCGGTTTAGATCAATTAGATCGGATCTTTTCAGCTTCGATCGGATCTCAATTAGATCATACACCCATATGCCATTGTATGTCAGTTTTTGAAGCAGCTTAAATATATAAGGATGCACCTATCCCTGAGATGTATAGATCAGCAATCCCAGCTTTAGATCAAGGACATACAGGTTGCATAAATTGAAGTTCAATTCTTTAACCCTACTACGGATATTATAACAGCAGTTGTTGGGTCCTCAGAAAATTAGCACATATAGCAGAAAACAATTCTATACATCCGTAAAGAGACCAAGTGCTTTGGAGCTACGTATAGAAAACTAGCCAAAATAGCTTTTCTAAAACCACAAGAACAGTAGTACAACAAAGCATGAACTTTAATTTAGTCAAAGATTCAATCAAATGAAGCCCAAGTTCTCATTTCATGACGTCAGACAGATTAAATAAAAATTATAATTTAGTTCCATCTCAAAGTTCAAAATTCGTAGTTCATACCTAAATAGCATCTCCAAGTGTGAACCTCATCCATTTTATCCAAATCATTTGTAAACAAGAATTTTTTAAAACTAGGCTTCTATAGAGTGAATTAGGAATCATTATCCATTTTATCCAAATCATTTGTAAACAAGAAATCTTTAATATTGGGCTCAAAATATGTTAAACAAATTCATCTAACTTC